TACGCGCTTTGATAGCTACCCCATCCCCCACATACACGACATCACGGCATCGCTCAAGGGCACGACTATCTTTTCTAAAATCGATCTGGTACGAGCATATCACCAGATCCCAGTCGCTCTTGAAGACATCGAAAAAACTGCTATCACGACTCCGTTCGGTCTGTTTGAGTTCCTACGAATGCCATTTGGATTACGAAATGCTGCTCAAACTTTCCAAAGGTTTATCGATAGCATAGTACGAGACTTGGATTTTGTTCAAGTCTATATTGATGACCTGCTGATCGCATCATCAAACGTAGATGAACATTATCAACACCTTACGCTATTATTCCAACGTCTTTCGGATAATGGAATAGTAGTCAACCCAGAGAAATGTGAATTGGGTAAATCAGAAATAATATTTCTGGGTCACATCATCAAACAAGAGGGTATTCTGCCTTGCGAGGACAAAGTTCGAGCAATCAAGGAGTACAACGTGCCGTCCTCAATCAAGGAACTGAAGGCTTTTCTCGGTTTGGTTAACTTCTACCAACGTTTTATCCCTCACGCGGCAGAACGGTTACGACCATTAACCGATTTACTACGCGGTAATCCACGCAAATTAGAATTGAACGATACCGCACGTACTGCATTCTCAGAGATCAAAACGGCTCTCGCTGAAGTTACACTCCTCGCTCATCCTGACCCATCAGCCACGCTTACTATAGCGGTTGATGCATCAGATTTCGCTATAGGAGCCGTTATTCAACAGAATATCTCCGGTAGTTGGCAACCGCTTGAATTTTTCTCACGACGCCTTACTCCCACGGAGACGAGATATAGCGCTTTTGGTCGCGAACTGCTTGCAGCCTACTGCGCCATCAAACATTTCCGGCACGCAGTAGAAGGACGTCAATTCATCTTATTCACCGACCATAAGCCCTTAACGTATGCCCTGCATACCAAGTCTGACCGCTACTCACCACGAGAGTGCAGACCTTTGGACTATATCTCACAGTTCACGACAGACCTTCGTCACATTAAAGGCGAGTCGAACTATGTTGCCGATGCTCTTTCACGTATCCAGACGAATGCAGTTACCTTACCGGTGCTCGATCTTCCTGCTATGGCCGCCGCGCAAGCAAACGATCCTGTCTGTACAGAAGCACCACAATCTTCGTCCCTTCAGTGTCAGGAAGTACCCCTATCTACTAGCTCAGGTACTATCCTATGTGATATTTCTACCGGTCTTCCTCGACCCATCGTACCCTCTACCTATCACCGTCTCGTCTTCGATGCCCTTCATGGATTGTCTCATCCAGGTATCGCAGCCACATTACGTCTCATCGCTTCACGATACGTCTGGCCGTCCATGAATAAAGATGTTCGTATGTGGGTAAAGCAATGCTTACAGTGTCAACGATCAAAAGTGCACAGGCACGTAGCTGCCCCCATTGGCACGTTCGCTACGCCTGATGCTCGCTTCGATCACGTTCATATAGACATTGTAGGACCATTGCCACTATCGCATGGGTATGATCACATACTCACGTGCATTGACCGTTTTACAAGATGGCCCGAAGCTATTCCCATCACGTCTATCACGGCGAAGACAGTTGCTCACCGCTTCGTAGAACGATGGATAGCATTGTACGGTTGTCCCTCGACTGTCACGACTGACCGAGGACAACAATTTGAGTCCGCATTATTCTCCTCACTGACCCGGCTGCTTGGTACGGAACGCATACGCACTACCGCCTACCATCCAGCATCGAATGGTTTAGTCGAACGGTTTCATCGCCAACTTAAAAGTGCTCTCCGAGCACACGAAAACGACAATACGTACGAAACCTTACCGCTCGTTCTCTTAGGTATCAGAACGGGATCTCTACATCTACCTCGGATCCCACGCTAGATACATCAGAGACCTCGTTCTCACGTCCCGGTCAACAGCACGCGTCATCTGCACCATCTACGGACGAGACTTCCGTCTCACGTCCAGATCGGCAGACCACGCCGCCCTTGACCTCGGATGAGATCGCAGGCTCACGAAGTACGAACGAGACCACCGTCTCACGTTCCGGTCGCCGAGTACGATTAACCGTACGCTTTCGCGACTAAACGCAGTCAATAACGGATACGGTGTAGGATTATTCCTATACTACACGCATGCTACACTTTTCTTTTTTTGATTTTTTTTTGTATCCTGAGCCAACGCCTCCGACCTACGCCCGTTCGATAACGTCGACTTCAGTCAACTTTGGCAAAAGCTGGTTTGGCCACCCATGCTCTAGTCAACGCACTCAGTCGATTATCTGGTCTCAAATTCGCCTGGCATACGCTTGGTCGTTATGGTCGCGTCCGGTTTCTTGGCTCAACGTGGTTTCGTCCTACGTCTGCAGCGTTTTCTGGTCCGCATCCATACGAACGCAATCATCAGATCCTGGATACAAACCACTCTGGTGTGGTATGCTAATTCGACCAACAAATACAGCACACTTCTGGTACCGTTCTGCGCAAAAGTCCTTCGTTGGCAACTCGAGGATGAACGATCACTTCCTGTTCCGCCAATTTCCTTCGTCCTACAACCGCACTTCTGCCGATCAGTCCCACGAATCAAACCGCTAACTATCGAAAGTGTAAACCCTTTCTAGCGGGGGGCTCCTGTAGTGACCTACTTTTGTCAACAGAACACGATTGGTTCGATGAAAACAATTATTATTATAACCAATTGTACCAGTGACTGTTTTACTGTGCTCGTTTGTTTAACTGTGCTCATAACAGCCATTTTAGTCTTCCATTGTATTCCGTTGCTTTTACGCGGTTTTTGGACTACGCACGTATCTTATCTTGCCGATCGCAACTGTACTCCTTTGGCACGATCTCGGTATTCTTTCGATACCACGAGATCGCCAACAAATATATACGACTACTACAATCATCTGCCTTCTGATATTTTGGCCTTTCGGAATCTTATTGGTTAATTGGCACGTAGTCTGGTAGCGGTTTTCATAGTTCAGCTCAACTCGACACCACGCTACAAATCAAACAAGTGAAAACAGGCTACCGAACTTTACTGTGAGACAATTACGTTATTTGCGATGTTTCGGTCATGATGAAACACTATCGTTCTAATGTCTCTAATACATTGCACAAAATTTCATATGCAGGTGTCCAAGCGAAAGGCTGAGCTCATAGAACAAAACTTCTGCTTTTCAGGTATGAATGAAATAGTGGGAAATGGGGACGCTCTTGTGTATGCTACCAGAAGTCTAGGGTAATGAGACATAAAAAATGACTCACTGGATTTTTTCATAACTCCTGACGCTTGTTTTGAACACGTTTCTCTTGGTTTGATAAGGTCGTTTCCGTAGTCAGATGGATGCTCTCCATTCTATTGTGTATAGATCATCTTACACCATGGCCAGAAGTTTTAATAATCAGCGAAATTACTGCAAGCCGAGAACGCCAGTTCGAGACTGAACTTTTTCACTGTATTACTATCCTCTCAGGAATTACATCATACCTGTGTCGCAAACACCACTGGTTCGAGAAATAAATCGGACGAACAGTAGAAGGTGTAGAGCCAGTGAAATTCCACTGAGTACTAGCCAAATCATCCAGCAGTTGGGTCATTGTATATCGAACAAATCATCGATTCTCGTCAATGTCAAGAACAACCAACGCACATCAGTTGATCGTACGTCATGGACTGGCCCATGCGGCAGTGGTCTTACCTTTGCTTGCATCTACTTTAACTAATAAATTTCTGTAATAACGTCCTATGTGTTGTACAGTCTTCAAAGCATCTATAGTACTTTGATACGCCAATGGGGTAATCCACGTAAGGTGCTGACCGCGAAGTGTGACTACGGCGTTAGCTAGTTCGCCACACCACTCACGTCTAACTCGAGTAAGCCTCCAATCATTTTGACATATATCATCCACACTGGTGATCTACAAAGGCATTGTTCTTACTAGTAAGGGAACTACGAGAGAACTGTACACCTTATTCCTTGTCGTTTGAATGTGATAGATCAAGCATCCGCACCAGATTACGTTTGATTATTCCATGTTACGAAACTTTGACGACAACTTGCCATCTCGCATTGCATAGAAGGTGTTGCCCGAACCTATAGTCCAAATACATCTTCAAATCTTACCATCCATGACATCTTCACTGATTAGTTTCGGGACCAACACTTGAGATAAGACAATCGAAAGTGGTAATGGAATAACCCAGTTCACAGTCGATGGCTTTTAAAGCGTAGGGATTTCTGTGAATACCGGCCGAAAAGCCATGTGTAACTTTGAAGTAGTAACCACTTAAATTTATGATTACTCATGACCATTCTGTGGTTACTGAAGAAACATAGATAAAGGCATATATCGGCTTTTGCAGCCGCCAAGTAATACGTAGCTGATGCATGTCATGTACACAAGTAATTAAAAAGGATATAGTATAAATGGCTCTAAAAGTGTCCCGAAGTTGTAGGAAAGCGATTTAAATTTCATACTGAAAGAGAGAGTAAAATATTTTACCTTCCTCATCGATTTTGCAACAAAACGTGACTTTGAAATGTATATGTTTTGTCTGCTTTCCTACATCGTATTGTCGTCAATTGAGATTTTAGGTTTGTTAGTTTGTTTTCTTTACTTATTTATGAATTGCTGCAAGTCTCCGCCGAAGCACATTATTGGGAACTAATGCAACCTCAAGGGGATAATGGGATAGCTCAACATTGCAGTCGACTAAGAAGTATGCTCACAAACAAACACAAGTACTTAAAAATCTTGATATAGTGTATGACTCTCAATAGATACAAAGGAATTATCTAGTCAAAATAACTTCACCCCAACGTAAGACGGCAGATACGGAATTTATACAATAGTTATACAGTTATCTTATTGCAAACCAGTAAATAAAATAATTTATACACTACAGTGATTGAAATCAACGATGTCTACTTACTTAGTAATTACTTTTTCTAACTAGAAAATGTCCTTGAGAGCATTTTACCATGACAAAAATTCACTGAATATTTGAAAATGAACGAACAGCTTACTTTTTATCCGAAAGACGAGCTCACTTCTAGGGGATTTGTTAAAAAATTATATGATAGTAATAGTTCATATAACGGTGATAGTGTACGTGATGTTAACGTTATGAATTATGCTTCAGGCGGTATTGCAATCGTTGAACAAAAAGCCTGTGTGTATCATTATACTCGGTAAACCATGCTCAGGAAAGACTGAATTGGCCAGGAGGCTATGCTCAAAATGGAAATTGCAGCTTGTTAACCGTAAGTAACATTTAAAAACGTTTATCCTACAGCAATGGAACTTATAACGGAGAATATTAATAGGGCAACATATAGTGGAAAAGTTATTAATGAATTAATGGGAAGTGGTCAACCTTTGGATGAAAAACTAGTTTACAATTTAATTACGCAAAAGCTTGAGTCACCTGAGTGTGCCCATTATGGATATGTACTGGATGATTTACCAGCTTTCTCTGATTCAATAATTACTATCGAAGAACAAATCGCCTGTATTACATCTCTGAATCTGAAGCCGGACTTCATTGTTCACATCAAAGTCAGTGTAAATTGCAATTTTCCTGCTCATCATAATTTAATTGTGTTAAAATTTATGCTTTCACACTTTTGAATCGTTGTCATATTCAAATTCTAAATTTTAACTTATTTCGTTTCAAATTTCTTTGGTTTCGTTTTAGCACGGCTGAAGTTTGAAAAAAACACTCTGAACTTGTTCTATGATATGGCTCAAAAACACACTATTCAAGGAAGAAATATGTATATCATTCAGTTAGTTATTGATCAAACTTAGAAATTGTTCGTTGAACACTTCATGTAGGTACTCGAACATATTAACAGAAAGATAGTTAGGGTACAAAACTTATAAAAAAGTTCTTCAGTTTGCGTTGAAACTATTTGCTCTAGTCGTTAGTTATTATTCTCTATTTTGCTCTATAGACACAGGTAAAATCGGGATCCTTATGTAATAAGAGTCTTGAAGGGGAAGTGTACAAAATCACGCATTTGTTTGTTGATCCCTTTCAGCCTCACTATTCATCAAAATGTTTTCAGGGTTACATTTTTTTAGAAGTTTGATCATTGATATTCGGATACAGATGGGAATTTCCAGAAGTTCTCCAGGTGAATTTGACTTTGAATCAAAGACGCTAGTTGAAATACATAAACAAAACGCTTGGCAGTACTTAAAGTGATGCTGAATAGGAATCCTTTCTTTACAGCACAAACCAGATTGTTGTGGCTGGGTATAGAAAGCGTTATTATCTAAGGTGCACGAGTATGTTACTCTTAACACGGAAAATCTTGTTGGGTCAAATAAGAGAAATTTATAGAAGTATGGAGAATGTCAGGTTGGAATTCTAGCGTTGGTATTCACATTAATACCAAAATTTATTAACTATCTCTTCGAACACTGAGGCATCATCCGCTAAGCTACTCGGTTCAGAAGGCTCAAAGCTTGTCCGGTTGATACATTATTTTTTGTATAGATTTATAGTCTTCTGTCGATTCAGCGTTTTGTTCAATATTAGAAACAGAAAAATATAAAGTGTTGCAAATAATTTCACTCTGGAAAGCCAGAAAATTTCTTTTGAAGCAAATTACCGAGTCACAAATATATTTGTTGGTGAATGAAAGGCAACGAAATTCAGATACTGGGGCTAATATTATGAAAGTTAAACGTAATCATTGTTAACCGAACGCTTTTACTTTGTATTTTGAATCAGTCATCATTCTCAACTTATTACTTTAGTCTAGTTTATTCGGTAGTTTTATTATTTTGTTAAAATTATTTGAATTTTGGGTCTGTTGTATCTTGAGTTGTTTGGCCTTGTGTCAATATAAATGTCGCTCATCCATAAGTATGTGATAACTAACTATGTAGGCGTAATTCGGAAAATGATTAATTAACAGATTTTTGAATTGAATGAACTCTTTGTTTAGATGCATTTGCTAATGAATACAAAACATTTACTAGCGCATATAATTAAGATTGAGCAATCTAAAAACGACTTTAATGCAATATATTCTTGAATCAGCAACAATTTAAATGATGCGCAATGCTAAAGTTTTGAATCCTTAATAATAATAATTAAGCTGTTCATGAGATGTGTTATTGTGACTAGTGGCTGTAAAGGTATTCAGGACATTTGAGATTTTAAAAGTCTTCTAAAATGCAGTATTACCAAGGAGTACTTCCCACGTTTCACTTTAATATTCATGTAATTTCACAAGCTAGAAACAAGATTTTAAAACATTAAAGTCAGAGTTGCAAAAAGAAGTTACGGAATAAAAACTAAAAGTTATCAACTAAACCACAAAGAATCCTTAGTTTTCCAAACCAAAAACAAGTTTTGCAACAATCGTTTATTTATAAAAGCAAATCTTTCGTCATTGAAAACGAAAAATAAAAATGTGTTGTACATTCAGAAATCATCAGTCATATACAATATTTTTTTGCAAATAAAATATTCGAGTTGGGTTGAAAGATAAACTGATATGAGGGAATGAAAAAGTGGCATTCTTTATGATTAACATTTTTTGTACCAATTCAGTATGAAATTTATTCAATGTGACGGGGGGGACTTTTGGTTAGTGTAAAAGCTACGTTCTCTGCATAATTGTGAGTAAGCTATGTGCAGCATATGTGTTTTTGCGGCAAATTACTGTGCTTTTATGTGTGACATTATCAAATGTCTGCCAAATAATTATGTAAATGAATGTATTTCGGTCTATAGACGTATTTTGGGGACATACTTTTGTATAGTCGACTAATCTTCATTGTACCAGTTTTATTTTTCTTTCTTTGAGTCGCAAAATTATGGTTAGTTCTGTTTCAAATGTAAGCGTTTGAACCGCCGATACAACAGTGGCAACGAGACTATGACGTAAATAATCTATAAAGGACACTGAACTGCAACTAAGCTCATCACGTTTTTCTAAAGATAGTTCATTATACTCCCCATATTCCTAAAATCTTACTCAGTTGGTTTTTCTATCACCAAAATACCCAAATGTTTTACGTCAGCCATATTTTTACATATTGTCGTGTCGTTAGCTTTAAACTCTGCTGTGATCCATCTGTAGTATTTGTTTAAACATTCGGAGATTAGAATTGAGTGCAAGCAGTAGATGAACTAGAAGTAAGAGGTGGACGACTTCCTCACCACAGACTTTTTTCTTCTGGTCGTCTTGCCATTTTATGATAACAGTTAATTCTGAAGGTTTGTGTTCAAGATGATTCATTCATTGTTGAGTCATTCTGCCATAAGACAGTTATGCCAGAAAAATGGCTTTAGGTATTCCGAAGAGGTGATATATAGTCAAAAAGGAATTTTGATGTCTACAGTAACGCTGGTTGCATGAAATAACTAGGGCTTGTTAAGGCATAGTGAATGCAAAATATTTATCACTTACTAGCAATAATGACAGTATGTCTAAATTTGTTTACGTAAACATAAATATCAAAGCAATGAGTAATTCATGAGTGTAATGCTTAGCAAAATTGCTGAGGCTTTACGTAGTAAGTCTGATTAACAACGAGATAAAACGTTTGCAGTAGACCGAAAATCTTCGTTACATAATGTTTCTGTTTGTTGATACTAAGGTGACATATTGTAACTCTTCTTTTAGGACCATGGATACTGCTATATATTATTAAAAGCACATTTTTTTGTCAATACGTAATAAGGTTTAGTAAAAAAATATTCACATGCCGGACACAGATGGTTATAGAACCTTAAAACTAATCTGGATTCTGAGATGAATTAAATATCGTCGCATAAATCTCCAAGTTACATGATTTAAAATTCAGTGCGTACGAAACAAGCTACTCGAAAATGCGTAAGTAGTACAATATTTGCTCACTGAAATTGTATTTCAAGCAATTAATTGTAGTCCTGGGAATGAGTTGTTAATAGCTCTTCTAAAACCAGATTAATCCGATTTATAAATATGTTGTTCATAAATATCTTAGTGAACACTCGGATGGTAAGCTAGATCTTCCATTTTACTATATGAGTTTAACAGTCCATACTTTTTGTATACATTCAAATAGTATCGATGCCGATATAAGGAAGTTAACTTCAAAAACTAGAGTTCGGGAAATATTAAAAGACTGTACGTTTTGAGTTTAGAATTATGTGTTACTGTATAGCTGATAGTAATGGATATAAATACTCATCTTTTTAGTTAAATGACAAACATGTATTTTGTTGTTTAGTTAGAATACTTTATCCAGTCTGTAATTTTCAATGAGATCGTACTGAAACGGTAAAGGCACTTATCACTGTTAAATTCATTTGTTAGCCTAGAAGTACAGTATATTAGTTTTAAAAAGTAACAGAGAAGTGTCTAAACTCACTTCGTCAGTGTTACGTGTCATTTTTGACGAATATTAATTTTTATAAATGGTAAATATTAGCAAATTGTTTTGATTCATCTATAAGTAAATGAACATAAGTCGGTTAGGGTTTAAGATATCTGTATCATTGGCTTAAAAAGCTTGTAAATGACTTATAATAAGGAAACTTTTCTTAATCTGATCTCGTTGTAATAAGACCTTTCCCTACTTCCTTTTACTTTTCAGTTAAATTTCATAACATTTATTAATCAAAACAAAATAATGTTTTTACATCATTTAAATTGCTTAAACGCTTTGTACGTGTTCTCCTTTTTCATCTTACTTAATTAGTCTTAAGTTTCAAAGTTATATGATCAAAATGATCTGGATATTTCAATCTTTTGTGTAACTAGTATTTATGTTAAAATATTACATTTTAAGTTTTGTAGGCAAAGATATAGTAAATGAGTTTCTGTTATATCTGATGCCTAGATTCTTAATATAAGCTAGAACCCGCCAAGTCGCAAGTGAAAAGACAGAAGATAAGTGAAAAGAAATGCTATTCCAACAGTTTTAATTAAACACGAAATTATTATTATACTCATCCAATCCGCGTACTGAGATTTTCGCCATTTATCCAATAGGGAAACAACACGTCGAGATTCTGGAATATTATTCCAAAAGATGATTGGGTGGAATATCTTCGGCGCTTTCTGAGCTTCTTAAAGCTTCCTTGAGTTCACCTGTGGGCCGTCCTCACAGCTTCAAAGTTATTTTTATTTTTGATACGTGTTCCTGATTTTTAATTGATGAGCTTTAAAATATTGCGTAGAATTTTTAATTTTATTAACCAACTTACAAAGAGTGGAAATATACTCAACCTCATCAAGTCAACTAAGTGAATCGTAGGCCAGAACGACAATCATGTTTACATCCAGGTGGTCAGTGAATTTTTCATATTATGATGTAATTTTTAATAAAAAGTAGATTATGCCATGAATTTTTCTATGACTGTAATTCTTATTAACCATGTCAGACTGCGTTACACTTGAGACACGCACTACATGCTGGGATGACATCCTTTGGTGTTTTTAAGTAGACCGTCAGTAAATAATTGAGAAATGTTTATTCAGAACAAAATAGATTAACATTTTATCGCATAAAGCACGTTAGCATACCGGAAAGAATACAGTGACCTGACTAGTGGTAGCGAAAAACGAGGAAACAAAACTGATTCAAAACCTTTAGAGCAAACATTTAGAGGACCACATAAATTACGAAAATTCATCACACTAAAGGATTAAGTTTTGCAGCTACGCGAAAAAGGCAGCAGAAAAACACAGAATTAGGCAAGCCAATGGACATTGCTTACATAGATAGTGGAATGATGATTGCTGCTTCTTTGGTCGCTAAGTAGACTGCCAAATTACAAACCGGAGTTGAATTTATTTCCAGCCTCTTACAAATAGTTTTAACAGAATAATTAAAATATGTAGAAACTTAGTTTCCGTATAACTTAATATAAATGTTTATTACTCATATTTTTATCCAAATAGATTCCTCAAGAGGATATCATACGAAGACGTGAAGGACTGAGAATTGATGTGGAAGATGGAACTGTATATTCCAGCCAAAATTATACTGACGAAATAAAATCATTTTGTGAACCTGAAGAAAAATTTTTAAACAAAACAACGAAAGTTAAACAAAACAAAACTGAAGAGGATACAGATGATAGTTCAGATAATATACTTGAAGATGTTGAAGCTATGGAAGAAGTTAATGACGAAGAGGAAGAAGATCAAATTAGTGGACAAAGTCATCCAGATTTCAAAAAATTAAATAAGAATAAATTAGAATATTTAATTTCACGATTGGAAGACAATCCAGAGAAAATGAAATCAGATTTAGAATATCATGAGAAAAATATAGCATCACACATAAATTCTTATATGAAAATGTTCAATCCATTCAATGTCATTGAATTAGATGGAAATCTAACCCCAACTGAACTGTTTTATGTAAGTAAATAAACAGTTCGATTTTCTTATCTTTCTCATCCAATCCAACAAATACATTCTTTACAGTTTGTCTTATTACAAATATATACTTAGTGTTTAGGATACTGGCGGTTGTTTTTTATTTGAATTGAACGTGGTAACCACATATATTCCGATGACATAGTTGTCTTGATAGAATTGTTAGGATGAATCGGGTGATTGAAATGTTTATTTTTTCCCAGAATAAACCTGAGTACTTTAACTGAAGATCTGTCAGATCTGATGAAAAACAAACTGAAAATATTGAGATTATCAGTTTGTCCGGTTGGTAGGTTACTTCTATCGTATATCGATATCAGCTAGGAAAACAATTGAAAATTATGAAACATTGTAAAAGAGACTATTTTTGGATCAAACAAACATTCGCAAATCAATAGACTAGGTAGTAGTCTTGTATCAATTAGTAACCAAGTTACAGGTAAGTATTTAGAAGATTTTCCTAGTATGGAGTTACTATTTATGGATCCAACTATGTGGATAGAAGAGTGAAATTAGTGCATTACATTGAGATATCTAAATTTCGTTTACCTACTGGAGATTTAGATCATTTCATAATTTATATTATTCTCATCACCTTTCACGGTATGATGGATGGTACACGTATATCTAAGAATAAATATCAGGTTGTGGAGGTAGTTTTGTTCTATTGGGGTCACCAACCAATCTAAATTAGGTAACCATTGAAAACCTGGAGTCACTAGGCAGTCATTCCATCTTAATATGAGACCCCTCAGCAGTGCGCATCCACAACCGAACTCTGAGAATCGACCTCAGAACTTTCAATCTTTCTCATGAACGCTCAACATCTAGACCACTCAGCTAGCATCCAGGGTAAGAATCTGATTTATAGACGACCTTTGAACAAATCTTAAGGGGCCTTGAGAAATATCGGCCAATCAGCAAACAGTCAGTATAGTGTAAAAATATATACAAAACCAAGGAAATAAAGTGGATACACTTCTTATACGTGGCTCAAAAACTTGTCGAGGTTAGAAAGAAGTTCAGAGGTTATAAAATCGTAATACATGCACTAGAGTAAATCATCCATATGGATACAGAGTAGTCGGCCACTGGAGCCACGATAAAGTTTCAAAAACTCTTTCAGCCTCGACCACATAGCTTCATTATTGTTTGTGTGCACTCTGGTTGTTGAGTAAAAAAATTCCACTTGTGGATAACGATACGATGCACATAACCAAGCCTATATAGGAGTCTGTACTCTCTCCAAACATCCGTATATATTGTAGTACATGGCTGCAGCCAGTGTTACTGGTGCTTTTATTATCCAGTTCTCAATAATTGTCATAATTTGCTTTAGTCAGGAACTAATTATGGGGTTTTCATCACGAACTGACATCAGCTATAATGCCAGAAATCTATTTAGCCGAATGGATGAAAGGCTTTCGCTCCAAAATCAGAGATCTGTTATTTTATACGTGATTGATTCGTCCACAAATTATAGTCTCGCCGTTTTGTTTGTTATAGCCGCTCAATTATCACGTTTTGTATAAAATTCCTTATGAACCGATCGTACATTAGCATTGAGCACTGAAGTTGGTGCCGTGACATTGAAACCCCTGAAACGCTTCTGATTAGCTTGTCCATAAATTAGAGTCTCCCCTGTTGTGCCAACGCTGCATTTTTGATGCACTGAAACTCTCCACTTGGTTTGACAATCGTTGCAAATTCGATGCCAAGTTCCGCTACATACTACTTACAAAACTATACGAGGATTGACGGTATGTATATTTCAATAACATTCAATAACGATTATTTGTTCGATCCAATCGGAGTCAGATTTTTGGCCATTAAAGTGGTGAGCTCGACGTGATAAATAGAATAAAAAGTGTACACACACATGCTCATATAAAAACAGTCAGGATTGATAAGTGAATAATTAATGAGGTCAAAATGTGACTCCAGAGGAATGGATAAATCGGCCTGTCGAAAAGCTAGAATAAGGTATTTGAGCTTAACATAGCAACCGACACTACATGTTATCTGTTTTTTTTTACAATTCACAATAAAGTAATTAGTTATTTACGATTTTTTATAAGAAATCTCATAATCTATAGATTAAACACATATTACTTGCGTTTATAAATTTTGAAGATTTCTAAAGCCCCTACATTTTGACCTACAATAGTTGTTTAAACATTTTATTTTCTATTACTTTTTATTATTTCAGTCTTACTATAGATCTGAATTATGTTTTGTTTAGGTTTATTATATTATATAATCTGTAGTTTCATATATGATTTCATGGTTTATGCAGATATGATTAATTAAACTCACTGTCAAAAAATTTGTTCTGTAGTTCTAATGATGAATTATGATCCATGAAATCAACTAAGGCAAGTATAGGAATGAGTAATTTTCATAGATTTTGAACAGATAATACGCTACCTGAAGTTCTATATCAACTATTATCATTTTCTAACATTATTTTGTATACTTCAAAACCTGAATAGTCTAGATTCCATTATATATTAATGTAAAACCTAGAGCGTCTGGAAATAAGCACTTCTATTCTTTGATTTTCAGGATTTTGTTTCATAATTCTGTTAAATCTTGTGTGCTGTGTCCTATTGATGTACAACGTAATGATACCGCCATTTAGAGAACAATGAATTATCGACCAGACCAATGACGCATATAACAAGTACGAGCACTCTATAGTCCTTATCGGTCCTGCTTCCTGCCTCGCCCTACCCGTTAAGTCCAGAACACCAATTTCAGCTTCTGTGATATGAATCGTTTATTTCAAACATACTAGGTTTACATACCAACCGGACAAACTACATCGTGTCATAAAATAGGAAACAACATTTGTACAAGATTTGACCAAATGTGGCTGTGAATGTGGGAGGTAGTAATTAAAAGACTGGGAATAACTCAAGAAGGGTAAATCTTATAACAACAGTTCAAAGGTCAAAATAAAGCTGATAATAAGAGGCACACGAATATGAATAGTTTGTTTACTTAACAATTATACGATAAAAATATACGTATAGTATTAGTCCATGAATGAATCCAAAAAGTTACCATTCATTATTATCATTCGGATATAGCAAATTCTTTGAAGAAAATTATCTTTGAACAATTTCTATATATTTAACAGATTAGTTTTTTATCGATTTATATTTTTACGAGTTAAATAATCTATCGTTTTTCCTTCAAGAATCTACTGGTTAAATTACAAGGTATGAATTTATATCCATCAGTAGCACCAATAAGATTTTTCGGTCCAACTGGGGGAGGTGAAGAGGAAGAAGAAGAAGAAGTCATTCCTGAAGATATAGATACTGAAGAGTTATTTAGAATAGTAGCTACCAAGAAAATGCCTGGTCCAAGGGCTCGTTGGCATAAAAGCCCATGGAAACGTTTATGCCCTGTAGCATTATATGAAGGTCAGTTGTCTATGGGAAAACCAGAATTCACAGTTGGGTAAGTTTCACTGACATCAATTGGTCATATATGAAAATAACTTTATTAACATCAACTTTGTTCAGTAAAGATTAGATCATATGCTTGATTGCATGGTTTTCGGTTTATAGAATATTCATAAATGTTATTTTTCATCAGGCGCATTAATTTACAGTTACATTAAAGAATCTATTTCAATGACACAATTATTAATTTCTCAAATGCGAATGCTCGTTTGACGATAAGCATATGAAAGTGACAAAAGATTTTTAAAACAATTAGTCACTTCATAAATTTCGATAGTGTAATAAGAAGACGAAGATTATTAGAACTATGTGGTGATATATAAGCGCGATACATTTCGAACAATCTGATCACACACAATAAACTTGTTAAGAACATTTCTACATAAAAATAAAAGGTCAACTCGACTAGAAATGGAGGGTAAGAAGAGATAAAGGTAATAAAGGAAATAATGTGGAAATAATCTGAAACCTTATCATTCTAGATAATAAGCTAATATTATTAGGGTAGGTTTAAGGTGAGAACAAACAGTTTTTGAATAATTAAAATAACCCAATGTTTTTTAATACACAAAGGGTATTTGAATTTTTGTATAGCTAAGGCTTCAATAAACCTTAGTATACATCCTTTTATACTTTTGTACAGTACCATAAAAGCCAAGTTAGGATCAATCTTATAACCTGTTTCAATTATGTGTTTGGCCATAGAGAATAATGAATGTTTATTCTTTTAAAAGAAATATTAACGTTTATATCAGATTTTAAATAGCTCACCACTTATTTACTTAAAAGCCAAAACATTCTCATCGCATTAATTGTAGCCATTTAATTTTGATATATTTCTTTGGCAAAGTTTCCAATACAACATTTTGATTAGAAAAAACGTTTTATTGAATGTATTTAATAAAATTAGATCAATCTTACTGTTGTCAATGATTAGATTTGTAGTACTTATAATTATATATGACATTATAGTTGTTAATCTCTTAAAACACCTTCAATATTATCATATTTTCAAATTTTCTTTCATCTGAATACTTTCCGATCTAGCTATCTTGGACAAATATTTTGTTTAGCAAATATTGACAATTTTACATCATTTATGCAAAATCCAAGACCTTATTTATTACCACCTCAACCAAGACCACCATTTCGTGTTGTTGTACTTGGTCCTAAAGCATCTGGTAAAACAGAACTGATTCATATATTAGCTGAATCATATAGAGCAAAAATTATTGATATAGCTGGAATGCTTCAAGAAGAATATAATACAAGAGTATGTGAAAAATTGAGAGAAATTCAAGAGAAAACTGAAGCGATTGTAGTCAAAGAAATAACGGAAAAACAACAGTTAGAAATTCAGTCATTAAACTCAGGTAAGAATGAAGATTATAGCAACGATAAAATTGCTAGGCATAAGTATTTTTAAAAAAATTACAAAAAAAAAATTTACAAGCATGGTCAGGTTTAGTACAAAAGGAATGCACCACCTTAATTTGCAAAAAAGTGATTCATAAAAAGCATGTCAAAATGATCTTAATAATATGAAACATTTGATGCGGGGAAATATTTAAGCATTGTTGATAGTATTTTAGTTATAAATCTGCTGCCTGTATACATGATGATGACTTCTTGAACTATTTCTGGATTCTTGTAATTATGCCACACTTGATCCCGGAACAGTGTGAAAAGGGGGCGAAGTAAGAAAAAAGCTTAACTTCAGGGTTAAGTTACGTACAGAAAACAATTTGTAAAAATATACCGATAATCTTTGATATACAGAAACTTCCGGAAGCTTGATAAATTTAGGAACAGAATTAGTAAACATCCAGTCATAGTGTAGCATATAATTTGTTAATTTTCTAAACCTTTCCCTGGATTCTGGATATCCTATTGAGGTATTCTCGGTAGATTTAGGCAGTGCAGTAATCTCATAGGAGCACACATTTTAACAGTCATCAGTCTGGTAAGTACAGTCGTCTTTAGTAAGCAATGTGAGAAGAGCGGAAGTACCTAAAGATTGGCGGAGCTACCATGTCATAGACAATTTGGAATGACAGATGTTTCAAAAGGAATAGGCATTCACTTAATAAGAAGACTACGGAGTCTTTTTTACAAATGATTAGTTTGGTGTAAAGTAATTTAAGTCGCGTTACAGGGGACTTATCATCATTTTAAATGTATATGCTTGCAATAGCAAAGCAAACGAAAGTAATACAACAAAATTAACTACATCAAGTTGTGTGAAAAAGAGAAAATTAGGAATGTGGAATAAAATGAAGTTTAATCATTTGAGACGCAACAAGCTGTATAGCAAAAATATTTAATTAACACAGTATTATTGATGATTGCAATCACTGGTTTTGAATATCTCACTGAAAAATTCGTTTGTATTGGTGGCTTGAATCTTTTCATTGATGTTTAGGATTGCGATTGACCAGTCTCTTTCTTGCATATGTTCATCCTATGCAGATTGCCTCGATATTACCATAAGTTGAAAGCATCATAAGGAAAGATGGATGATGGCTATCTGTGGAATACAGGATGAAAGTTTTGTCCTAAGTGGGACTCGTCAGGTGGATGTTCCTGCAGTCAAGAGTTATCAGTCTCCTATTGGTTCCATTGCACAAGTTAGTGACTAAATGTACTCAGTATCTAATGAATAATGCGATGGCGTTAGTAGCGAATGGAACTGGGTTCGAATTCTGGAGTGAACATCAACATTGGAATGCAGATAAATTCAGATGACGAGTCCCAAATGGGTTAAAACACACATCCTGGTTTCCTTTACAACCAACCATCGATTTCCGCAAATAATCGCATCCAATAAACCAAGGAACATTTGAAACATTATTTAAATTCTACTGATATTCAGTTACTGCATGAATTTACTCTATTAGTATGAAGTTTAAAATCATATAGTCTACACTACTTAACAAGAAATACCAATGTAGGTCTTAGTTGTGCATACAGAAGAAAAATGGCAAAAATTCAAATTTAATGGTGACCCTTTCTTGTATTAATACAAAAATGTCAATTCAACAGTATGATTACATTCATTGGTTTTCATTAAAAGAATTTGTATTATTAAAAGATTATTTTGGTAAATTTATGAATTTGTGATGAACTTGAAAATCTTTTATTATCTCTTTAACAGAAATATATTAACCATTTAAAACTGAACAATTTTTGTTTTCCATAGAAAAAGTGACTGAGGATACAAATGAAATAACTGAACAAATAGTGACAAGTGAAACAGAAGAACAAATCGCTAAAGATGATAAGGATTCACAAGAAGGAGAAAGTGAGCAAATGGAAAAATTATATATATAAATCTTATTTTAATATTATTTAATAATAATCCCGGGTGTGGAATCTTGGACGCACATTGCTGAGGAGTTTCATACTAGGACGAAACGACCGTTCAGTGCTGATAGGTTTTCTATAGTGATCTAGCTTGAATCAACTAATGAATCGGATTATTAAATAATAAGATGGTGAAAACTTTAAAGCTATCAATAACATACTTAATTGACAATTATTGTTAATTTTATGAACAAATGAAAAGTGAATTATTTTGTTTAGTGCAAACTTTTCAGCGTTTTGACAATGATACAAATGATACATGATTAGCATAACATTTGAATAGTAGTTTAAACAAAAAGAATAAAAGTATAACTAAATTTATGCATTCCATAGTACGAAACCGTTATCACTAGCCTACAATTAAGTTTACTGAAAAACAAAAAAAACAAATGATGATCTGATTGCTCAAAGAAAAGAATTTTGTCTCAATTTTATTAGACTAAAGTGATTTGTAGAAATGAAGTGATCAAATCTAATGGAGTAGACAGTTTGCTTTCTGTAGTTAAAAGTTTATAACATTCTACATAATCATTATATTATTTATAAATTAATTGACTTGTATGCGTGAATTACTTTATTTACTTCCATAAAATTTGTTTCTTCATATAGAGACAAGTGAATTGGATGAGAAAAAAGAGCAATCACTATCGTCTGACATTCCACAATGTAAGTGACTGATTTTTACAAAATAACCAGTTTATTGAAGGCACATAGGTTTGCAAATCTTTCACCATTTTCGTTCCTTTCTCCCAGTCCGTGTCGTCCCATGATCTCTTCATATCCGATGTTGTTCATTCACATCTTGACATTTAGGTCTCCCATCAGAATGGTCAAATCCTTTGTTGGGCACTTCTCGAAGATTGACATCTTTATTGTAGTCGTTGGTAGGCGCATAGCATTGGATGACGCTCACTGAAATGCTCTTTTTCTTTGTTTTGAAGGAGGCATTGATTATCCTTGGTCCATGAGATTTCCATCATGTAAGCGCATATTGTGCTAGTTTTGATAACATCAATGTAAGTCCTTGTGTATGTGGGGCATTTTCTTCTTCATGGCCGAAGTATAACAGAAGCTCCTTTGAAGCTAGTCGTTGTTGTCCAACTTGCGTCCAATGTGTTTCACTGATCCCAAGAACCTCTAGGTTGTATCTCCTCGTTTCTGCAGCAATTTGGAAGACTCTCCCAGTCTCCCACATTGTACGAGCATTCCATGTACCTAAATAAATGCTTGCTCTAGTTGTCAGAAGGGGCATCGGCCTCGTGACTTCCGAAGAAACTCGGCTTTCACCATGAGGCATAACTCTTCTAAATGAATACCTTTTGAATCCCAGGGCAGAGTTTAAGTGGTCTGAATGATTTTTTTTGATTAACGTTTTTTAGCAAGTTAGTTTTCTACGGGATGGGGTTGCTAACCCCATGCACAACCCTCCTCTTTTATCCGAGCTCCAGAGGGGCTCCATGCGGAGTTTGTAAAAATATAAGTAAATGTTTATACTTTATAGATTCCCCTTTTTATTAGACCTTTAGGAATTCTTGTTGAAGATAGCCATTAGTAAGCAAATGGTTGTGATTTGGTTGAGAGTTTCTTGGTTACTATTTGAAAATAGTTTACGTTATAAATTGACTGTAGCTAGACAATCATTTATAACTAAGTAGCATCAGATAGATGTTTTGTTCCAAAATGAGACTCCTTAGCATTTCGACACCCATGACCACAAAGCCATTGTAGCCCTGGATTTTTAGTATTCCTTGTGTGCTCCATTTGTTTAGATCAATGAATCACCCTTCATGTTTGATACTTACAATCTCAGTCGTTTTAGGGTTTTATGAGACCATTATGCAATACCTTCAGAGATGCTCCCTTCACTGCATGAATTGTTGGAATCCGTTAGTCAGGTAAACAATTCATCATGTAAAGTAAAACAACCTAGATAATAACCGGCTACACGATTTTCATTTTATACATGATATTGACAGTATATTTGCCAGAATACATACTAATTTTGTTTTCATTGAAAATATATTAAAATAGATTTTAATTCAAAATAGCCAGTGCTGTTCGAATAAAGATATAGCATTATTAGTAACTAATAAACTCTTAACAGAAAGCCACAAAAGTTAGTGCTAAAAGTTGGGTAAAATACCGTCATAATACTCATAACTGTTGTACTGTGTGCTACTTATGCAGAAATAAGTAGTATATGACGGGAGTTAAAAAGTTATGTCTGGCAGCAGAAGATGGGGGCAGATCAAGAAAGAAAGAGCGGAAACATAATGGAATTTGTATAGAAACTCTTAAACAATGAAATGTCAGACAATCAATTGATGTTTGCAACAGGAACAGTCCAGTTTGATATGATGGATTGATATTTTACAAATTAACAATTCACTATATGGTTGTTAGATTTTATTAACAGGTGCTGTAATTTAATGTCAAATACGTTCAATTGTCCCCATTGGTGTTTCGTTCACTACAGTACTAGTAGTAATGATAAAAATAAGCAAAAATATTTTTTAATACTCAAAGTTGGTCAGACTTTAGGAAAGTAGTGTTTCAGAGTATCTCAAAGTTTAGACTGGGTCATTTAATCAAATCTGATCAATACATATTATGTGATGAATAAAACTGGAATGTTTAGAGCTATTTGTCGAGTGTTTTAATATTCTTCTAATGCTGTGACGAACCTGTTTTGTTATATGAATTGGAGCCATCAATTCAAGTATTTGTATTTAAACTAAATATGTAATACTTTAACCTTGCACATGGTCGACCTCGATCCACCTGGGGGTCAAACCTAGAATCCTCAGAGGTCAGGACCAGCAGAATTTAATCAGATCATTTGATTAGAATCCATTGATCAATATCTCCAAATTCAGTCAGTTTACGATAGTCTTCAACAACCATCCAGTAGCAGTAGTGATATATATTTCATTCCTATTCATCTTGAATTCTATTAGCCGTAGCTCTTAGTGTTTCAATGGCTGTCTAACTGAAGTAAGTTCGTGTTGTAAACTATATGCAAACTGAAAAAACTCCACAAACATTTCATCAGAATAAGAAATAGTATTATATTTCATTTATGTAAATAATAATGAATAAACAAATTTCGAACCACTTAAAACTATTTATAACTAACCATCATACTGAGAATGCATAAACATGTCTGAACGTTACTGTTTTAGGCAGAATTACATGATTTCATGACTGCATTAAGAATGATCCTTCAAATATTTCAATAACAATAGCATATCGTGTTATGTTATTTTGTTAATGAACTTAATCGAGGAACGTTGCAGAATATAGGTTTTAATGGAAAAAATTCCAATAATATGTCAGCCATTTCTTCTAATTCAATCTTATTAAAAACAAGAGTATTTTTAGTGTCGGTAGCTATGTAACCTCACATAACTTATTCTAGCTTCCGGATAAGCCAATCTATTCATCCTTCTTAAGTCACGTTTTAACTTACTTACTTACTTACGCCTGTTACTCCTCGTGAAGGAGCATAGGCCGCTCACCAGCATTCCCCATCCAACCCTGTCCTGGGCAATCCTTTCCAGCTCTTTCCATTTGTTATTCATCCTTTTCATATCTGATTCTATTTCCTGACGTAATGTATTCTTTGACCTTCCTCTTTTCCGCTTCCCTTCAGGATTCCAAGTTAGAGCTTGCCTTGTGATGCAGTTTGATGATTTCCGTAATGCATGTCCTATCCATTTCCATCGTTTTTTTTCTAATTTCTTCTTCAGCAGGAGGCTGGTTTATTCTCTCCCACAGTAGGCTGTTGCTGATGTTATCCGGCCAATGGATGTTGAGTATCTTGCGTAGACAGCTATTGATAAATACATGTACCTTCTTGATGGTGGTTTTTGTAGTTGTCCACGTTTCAGCTCCGTACAGTAGAACTAACTGCCTTGACGTTGGCACTGAAGATTCTGACTTTGATATTGGTTGAAAGCTGTTTTGAGTTCCATATGTTCTTCAACTGTAGGAATGCGGCCCTTGCTTTGCCAATCCTCGCTTTTACGTCTGCATCTGAACCTCCTCGTTCACCGATGATGCTTCCCAAATATGTGAAGGATTCCACATCTTTCAGCGTTTCGCCATCAAGAGTGATTGGATTGCTGTTCTCCGTGCTGTGTTTGAGGACCTTGGTTTTCCCTTTGTGTATGTTGAGGCCTACTGATGCAGAGACTACTGCTACGCTTGCTGTCTTTATCTGCATTTGTTCGTATGTATGCGGTATGAGGGCTAGGTCATCTGCGGAGCTCAAATCGCCTCATTGGTTCTGAGCTGTCCATTGTATTCCGTGTTTCCCCTCAGATGTCGAGTGTACAAAATACACTCATCCAAAACTTCATTCTCGTATTTGACATATTTAATTCTGTTATCGACTAATAAGTTAGTAATAATATACGAGGATTGACGATATGTATATTTCGGTAAAAATCATTTACACGATCTAATTGGAGTCAGATATAGGATAACCAAATATTACTACATGACTTGTTTTATATGTCCTTTACACTAGTATCTTAATGAATTAAACGAAATATGATTATGAGTTGCTTAATGTATGAGATACCAAGCTCGATAAAGGAAATTCTTTTACACCTCCACTGACACTAATGTTCTCCAGCAGACTTCACATTACTAAATGTCTAGAGGATAAGTTTACCTATATGACAACATCAGTGTTCGTTCACCGGCTAACTTAGTTCTTAAGAATATAATATATTGGTCATTCGATGAGTGTTATTTTAAATAGGATTAAATCACACTATTCAGTATGGTTAAAAAGAAACAGGAATCTATCGATATGAATAATAAAGCATCTTTTCAAAACTGGGCAGACTCTTCATTGAAAAACATGTAAAAGGTAAATAAATACATTTCAAAGCAGAGTATTTCCACCTTCTATGCATAACTGGTATCCTTACATACACTCATCTATTGTCTTTTCTTACCAAGATAACAATTTCTAGTTACGTGAATTCATCACAATCTAATACCTATTTCCATATCATTTTGGTTACAATTTATTCTCAGGTTGATATTATCATTTTATTTGAGCGATTTCCATAATTGAAAAAGAGGAATGTATTTGTAAAATCTCAGTGAAAGAATTTGAGGTCAATTCAACGTTTTGCCTAGCGATCTAGTTTAAGCTTTTTTAAGGAAATTTCCATAATTATTAATTCATATCTACTTTCTATAAGATTCTCGATTAATTTTTTATGCTTTAAACCATTTAATGTTCATCAAAGAGATTCTTTTCAAACCATTTTCTTTTTCTCTCTATTACCTTAATTCTCAATAAGTATTTTCCGTTAATCTAGAAGCTCCAAATAACATTAAGTCAAATCTTAGAAAATTCAAAGCGATTGTCGATAGAATTTTCGTCTTCATTGAATAGGTTAACAGATTGTCACTGTAAAACAGACTTCGGATTAATGCATTTTTTCTTCATCATGAACAAAAATAAAAATATGGTAACAACCTAACAGTTATTTTTTAAATAAAACATTTCATAGATTTACTTCAACCAGTCGTTAAAGATCATCCAGAAGTTAAAAGGCGTGTTGCAGAAGCTCTTCAGAGTATTAAACGGGAGTCATTTGAAATCGAAGTAGATTTTTACATAAATGCTGTTCGTGCCGCAGTTGATGAAGCTGAAACTAAATTACGTAATGATAATCCAGGTGGTCCATAGTAAGTACAACTTAATTACTTTAAATCGTTTTTAGTGTTAAGAACAGATTCTCTTTTAAATTGTTAATATTTAAAATATGTTTAAATGAAATCACAAATCGATCAATGTTAGACCACTATTGAAAATCTGTAATTACTCGACGGCTGTTTCGTTCTAGCATGAAACTACTCAGCAATGTGTGTCCACGATCCCGAACACAGGAATCGGACGTCTAGACCTCTGGCCTTACACATAAAGGTGCTAATGTTTAACTTTAACCAATTAACCATATTGCGTAACCATCTTATAGCGTCTTCGGTGAGTAACTGCCTGTCACCCTACACGGCTTCTCACTATAATTCCCGAACTTTACTTTCGAAGTTAGTCACTAGTGAGCTCATTATGATTATCAGTTAGTGGTTGTCGAGATTGCTAAATTTCTTTGAAATCATGAACCGATCTAGTTTGTTGCACTCTTCTTGAATCTACTAGTATTTTGACTTTTCTATAATGTTATTATATGGGGCAACTTTAAGTTACTCATTAATGTTCAATATTGCTTACTGTAATCAATAGTTTTAGTTCCAAAGCTTTATTCACACTTTGTATTCTTAAGTCATTCTATGAATACTAGAGAGTTCTGTATGTCTTTATTACGTTCTCTTGAACTAGGTGTCATCACCTTGTTTTGCCTGCCTACTAGTTTAGGCATAATATCAAAGGGAATAGAGTTGTTTTCTACCCGTTTACGACCTTAATGTGGTAGATCACATAGAACAACCTCGAAACTTGCAGCTCCTTAGTTTTAATTGTGAATGAACGGCCCCGAGGGCACAAAGAAAGAGAAACTATTTTATCATTGACCTATGACCGATAAAATCGTAAGTCAAAAAGAAGATGGCTTGAATGAAACTGTTTGTCTGATTTATTCTTGATTCAGCTAAATTGAAAAGGTGTTTCAGTAAGTACATGACTAGGAGAACCATTATGTGCAAAGATTGGGAAGAAGACAGTTAAATCTAAACAGTGACATTAGAATAGAAAAATTGGGATACAAGGATCACCTTTAAATAACAGTGATTTAGAAATCAAAGAGAATATAGCAGTCATTTATAAATTTAGCGAAAACTTATGCTTTTCAGAATTAAGCAGACAAATCTAGCTTCTAATAATTTACACGCTCCAAATTTAGTGAGACGACGTTTCGAAAAATAGCTTATTTGTCATTTCGTCTTCATTCCTCTCTTCATAATAATGATTTTAGTAATTATAATTCATGCTGAACGATATTTATTTGAATAATGCAGCAATGAGGTCACACATTTATCTTGATCTTTGAAACTATTCTTTTGTTTATGTTACAAATGAAATTAAGAACCACTGATTTTCGAGGTTTTTCTTTTCTAACATCAGATCTTATTATATGTGACAGTTTTCGTTAGTGTCGTTCCTGACTATAAAATGTAAAAGGCTAATCCTTAGTGTTTTCTTGTACTTCCACTGACTAGTATTATTGTTTTAAAAATTAACGGTTCTTCAGTTTCTCTGTTAAAGTAAGTGACTGATATTTATTTGAAACATATATGAAAGTAAAGACATTTATGTGCCAAGCTGAGTGTTCTAAGTGGTAGCATGATACGCAAGAATTGAAATCCCCGTTGAGGAGCTTCTTAAATATAAACACAAACTCTAGTGTTACTATTGTTGACAATGCACTTCAACTTTGTATGAATCATCTGATTACGATACAATTTTTAATTTTTTTCTAGCTGATTAACCTTACGTTATTTTTAGATAAGCTATATTTATATAACATATTCATATGGCATATATTCTTTAGTCACGGTCAGTGGATTATTGATGGTCTTCCTGTACGTCCAGATGTTTGGAGAAGTTTCACGGAGAATGCTCCAGAATTGCTGCCTGATTTAATTGTTTACTTACAAGATACAAGTATAAATTCAGAGTACTTACTTCGACGATGGATTCAACTAAAATTAGAAGAATTCAGTGGTTTGTAAAATATTTTGTAGTTATTAATTTATTTGTAACAGTTCCACAGTAACTATTGATTTTTTTAAACTATTGTGAACTCAAGATTTCATACTGGATCAAACCCATAAACCATCACGTTCAACAGTAAAATAGATGTGATAAGTCACCAAACTGAAATGTAATAACTTACATTTTCAGCTTATCTTATGTGAAACTCACTCCCATTTAGTGATTATCGTCACACTTTCAAAATTCGTTCAATACTAAAGAATCTTAGACTACGATGAAACATTTGTTTAATGCCTCATGATTTTTAATATTTCCCTAGCTGATTTGATTTCAGGGTAAAATTTGTTACCAGTATATATCAGTAATCAGTCATGCAGTGACAATAAATATATTAACTACTAATTTATGAAAAGTTTAGAATTGTTGCGTGGCTAAAGATAGTAGGTATGCAACATTGAGTAGCCTAGGTTTCGTGATTGATTATTCATTTTCTATTCTTTATATCTCTGAGTCTGATATTTCAGTAACAATAGGGTACTCATTTGTAAAATTCCACATATATAACACAATGAAATCTTATTGAATACTAACTCTCTCAAGTAATTTATTTTCCCGGATAAAAATATGATAATTAAATTTTAAAAGGATCAAATGATTTTAATGAAACACTCTATGTTAATGACGCCGTAAGATGAATTACATTACATCGGAATTGAATACTTATTGTAACTAATACTTTCTTGCTTCATTATTTACAATGAATGAAACATATATTTTTATCAGTCTAATATATCAACACACCATTCTGTCTTAAATAAGGGAGCCGAAATTATTTTAGATTTTAAAGTAAATGATTGTATGAATGTTCGAATTTACTTACCATTTGTCTAAGAAAATGGGAAATATATATTATCACTGAAAACAGGAAATGAGATCAGAATGTATCTTAATAAATTTGGCTGGTACTGTTTTCTTGACTGTTAAGTCGGCTTCCGAGAACTACAACGGAGCCTTTAGAGGCCTTAAAGGAGCCGAAGAGTCCCAGACAATCAGAGCATGAGACAGCTTTCAAGAATATTAACGTGGTATGCTACTATTGGTCAGTAGCATAATATGTCTCTTAGCGGATTGGCCAAAATATAATGTTGATTTGACAAATCCTAATAATCTATAAATACCCGTTTTTTCTGTACAAAAACGAACCTTTGGAGTAAAGTGCTTTCGCTTATTTTGCGCCTTTTTCTCTCGTGTTCAGGTCGCTGCGTAGTTCTAGCTTGCGGGTTACCAGAATAGCTTAGGAACCGAATAAAGTGTTCAAATTAACAAGACTTATCATTGACAGCATATCAATTAGATTGTGGTTGGGAATTCTATTTACTATGTAACAGTTTCTTAGGTTTGATTTTAATATTTACCATTCATAATTATTTTAAACAGTCGTTAATTTAACAAGATAATTTTTACAAATCACTTGGACTTTAGTATGCTGGATGTTAAGCAATTGACAATCATTATCATACATTACTTTCCTATTACTTCATGCAAAATAAAATGTTTTTAATCTTTTATTCCTGTAAAAAAAACATTTCAGACATAGAATCAGTTGATCTAACTGAGAATACTGAGAGTATAATTACTCAAGATCTTGAAAGTGAACAACCTAAAATATCCGAGGAAACCATTCTTCTAAGTGGAAGTCATGGTCAAGCTGCCCTATTGAGACTTAAAGAGGCAGAAAAATTATGGACAGAAAGTTTTGATTTGTTAAAGCGAACAACTCAACCGTTAGGTGCTCCTGTTGATGTTATGGAATTGAATATAACTGATAAGACAATAGATCAAATGAGAGATGAAGTTTTAAATCGTCTAGTTAGTAAGTTTATTTTATGAAGATGTCTGATTATATTTTGTTCAGGAAACAAAACTGTATCCGATATTAATTTTACTTTATTTTTGGATTTATTCATTGGTGTTTAGGACTGCAATTGATCAGTCCCTATTTGGCATATTTGCATTTTATGCAGATTACATCGGTATTACCAGTAAGTCCTGGAATGAACATGAACTCCGGGATGTAAGCGCGTTCAACTGACGATTTTTAAGTAGGATGAAACGCTAATTCTAGACACCATCCATCTCTGCTCAGAGTTTTCCCAATTATTATTTGTTTAATATGAAGAGCAAGTTACATCAAACTCACTAATAAGACAGTTTTTATAAAAAGATATATGGAAATACTCTCATTATATTAGCTAAATTGATCATAAGTAGTGTAGATTTAGTTTGAAAAGCTATTTCTTACATAATTTTACAAAAAAAACTTCTGAAAGCAAATATTCTTTTGGTTTTTTTCAAATTGATCTGTAAATGCACTAGGATCAAATTACTTATAAACTAAATTTCTTAGATTAATAGATAAAATGTAAAAGAGTTAAATATCGATATTTTCTTTGTAAACGGTTTAAATTCATAAACGAATATTAAAAGTAATCGTTGATATCAGTTTTATCTTATGAATAAGTTTCTTTATTTCTAATAACAATTCGATCAGTTGTTTAACTAATTAATTAAGCTTTCATACACATAGTTCCCTTTATTATTTTAAAGAGAGCAAGAACAAAGGTTGGTGCAGAATAATATGAATTCATTTCATTTCGTTAGGTTCTCATTAGCTGCTTACAACCTAAAATATTTGAAATTCAACGTTATTACAGATATTGACATAAATCAGAGGGTGATGACGGATGAACATGATGTAGCAAAGATGCTTTGTTAAATATCATAATAAACGATATTCGATTGAAACAAAATAACTAACTGGTGTTACCTAACTTTTTGTATTTACTTTAATAAGGGGTGGGGTAATGACAAAAATTTTTTTCTTCATATGACATTTTTGTATCTGTGGATAAATTAGTGCCCCCAAATGCCCTGGTACGGCCGAGAGTGGGGAGAGTCCGCTCTCCTTCTCGAAATGCTCTCACATGGCCACGCGTATATAGCCTCTGCCAGGGAAGTCCTACTCACTGCCTTCTCGCGGCGGGAGTGTTGTTTACGAAAATGAGAGGACGAAAAGCGAATTTCCGGAGCTTTAGCTGGATCCCAAATCAATGGTGCACATGGGCTCCAGTATCCTGCGGGAACAAATGGCGTATGAACCAATCGTTGGTCACCGGCTACCATGGGACTGCATCTCCTTATGATGCTCCACTGCCGTGTGGGTCAGACGTTCAGGTCGAAGGCTGCTTCAGTTTGGGCACCCGTGCAGTATCACAGCCCTCACACAAATCAATTGAGATTTGTGTTGCGCATATGTATTTGGTGCCTCCTTGACCAATACGTATGTGTTAAAATAAATAAATAAATAGTAAATAATAAATTACTCCTTGTTACTGGAAATTGTGAATCTGATGATGTAATTAAAAGCGTAAAAATAATAGATGAGAATCCATTTAGTATTCACAATAAATCAAAAATGAATATTTAAATACATTGAATTTTCATATAATTTACATTGATTAATTGTTAGATCTAAATTCACTTAGTATCGTTTACTTAAATTTTCTCATTGATGTCTAAGATTGAAATTGATCAATCTCTAATTGGCATATATGCATCCTGTTTGTATTGCCTCGATATAACCTTAATTCACAAACATTATAAGCATAATGGCTAGCACAAGCAAGTGGCTGTCAGAACTCAGTAGCTAAGTGGATAACACGACTGCGTTTGAAGAGAACAGTATTAAGTTCAAGTCCCAGAGTGTACGTAAACTCTGAAATACAGGTATATCCAACTGACGGATTTCAAATAGGACGAAACGTGTGTCCTGGATTCTACTGCTAGCCACTATCCATCTTTGTTTATAATTGTTAGATCTGTTCACATCAAACTGAATAATACTCAGTACCAATTAATAAACATAAATATACCATATCATACATTTGACAGCCTATAACCAACAGATATAACTAACATGATTATCTTTACTTAAAATACAATTAAATATTATAAAAGGATTGAAAAAAGAAATCAATATTATAGGTCAATAGCACTCTTGATGATTATAAATGTTTTTGCTGGAGTTTTGTTCTCTGAGCCGGATGGTTTGGTCGTGGAGCTTTCATCGTTCTTGTGAACGACATCAGCACAAACTTCAGGTAAAAGTTTGTGCTCAGAGAACAAAACTCCACCTGAGCTACAAATTTTCTCCACCATATCAAGATAATAAATGTCTTATATTATCTTATTGTTTTGTATTTTTTGAGTAGAGAATAACTTAAGAAGTATACTTATAGAACAAGTAAACTTACATATATCTATATGTATGTTCATTTAGTTTTTGATAAGTTATATTTGTTACGTATATTTATGAATTTCTTAAATATCGGCTAATGTACATTTATATATATGGAAGAATTTCAACAAGATCGGATGTATAAATCACATAATCAACATCAAGTAAATGACTTCATAGGCAAAACTTAACTGTTCATTTTAAAGAATTCATTGATTCTGTTACATCACAGTTATCATGAATACGTACAAAATTTTATTTGAAATAAAAGCAATAGTGCTAAAATGTTAAAAAACTAAAGAAAATACATAACAAAAAGGATAAATAAACATTTGTTTTAATACAAAAACTAAGAATAGTAATTTCTAGACAACTTAATTTTGGTTAAAATGATAAAAATCAAGAGTCAATTGAAGCTAGACCACCATGGAAAACCTGGAAGCACTGGACGGTCGTTTCGCCTAGCATGGGACTCCTCAGAAGTGCGCATCCACGATCCCACCCTCCGCGGGATTCAAACCCAGGACCTATCAATCTCGAGCGCGAACGCTTAACCATTAAACCACTGAGCCAGCCGGCATCCAACGGTGTTAATGTTTAACTTCAACCAACCCGCGGAATTGCGCCACCGTACACCATTGTCTTCAGTGAGCTGATATCTCACAAGAGACCTGGTTGAACTCCACTGGTCACGGCTTCTCACTAGAACTCCAGGGAATGCCCCTTGAAGTCAGTCACTAGTGAGCAGATGATTATTATCAGAAGGGGTTTTGTGGAGATTTTAGTAATTTCAATCGTTGAAATCATGGGTCAATTGAAGTTAGACATTAACCTTTGGACGACGGCCAGCTCAGTGGTTTGATGGTTAATTGCTCGCGTACCAGACTGATAGGTTCTGGGTTCGAATCTCACGGAAGGCGGGACCATGGATGCTCACTGCCGAGGAGTCCCATGCTAGGTGAAACGACCGTCCAGTGCTTCCAGGTTTTCCATGGTGGTCTAGCTTCAGATGACTCATTATTTCAACTATTCAAATTACTAAAATCTTCACAAAACCACTTCTGATAAAATGGTAAAACAAATTTCAAAGCAATTATTCCAGTTGACAAATTTCGATCGTGTAATAAGAAGACGAAGATTATCAGAACTATGTGATGATAAATAAGCGCGACATATTTCGAACAATCTGATCACATGTAATATACTTGTTATGAACGTTTATATATAAAAATAAAAGGTCAACTCGACTAGAAATGACGAGTAAGAGGAGACAAGAATAATATGAAAAAAAATCGATATCCTCCGCTTATAATTTAAATTGACTATGTTCATATATCATACCAATCTTCAAGTTGAATCTAGTTTTAAATTGATATTGAATAGTGAGTTGATTCTTCAAAATAGCCTTGACTGAAAATAATCTTTTTTCTTGCAAGTGATATATAAAATTTGTAGAAAATAGAAATTCCAGTCTTAAACTATGGTACTATGATACTGTCGTTCATATAGATCAACAAATTTACTTTCTTTCATTATCTTGAATATCAATGAATCACTAGGTTAGTTATTATTTTATTTTTTTACCATGATTAACTTGAATTAGAACAATTTAAAACAGAACCGATAGCAAAGACACAGGAGGATTTAGATGAAGAGGAAGAAGAAGATGCTGGTGCATTTGAAGAGGAAATTGATGAGGAATTTAGTATAGATGAGGAAGGTATAGAAGAAGGCGAAGAAGAGAATGAACAAAAGGAAGGAGGTGAAGAACTAGAAGAAGAGGAAGAGGGTGAAGAAGAAGTAACTGAAAGAATTTAAATAATATTTTAATGTGTTAATATTTATTTATTTGCAAATATACTTATTTGAGTTATATGTGCAATCCTATTAATAAATAAATAGTATCGGTGATGATATCATCATTATGAAAAGAGAATATATTTAAGAAATAGTTTTTCTGCACAATTAGGTCACACGATTCATTGAATTATTGAACATCTTCTACAAGTTTAGGATTACTTTTGAACATACTTGTGAGTTTCTCCTTTATTTTAACCACGATTCGGTTGAAATGGCTTGATCGCTAAGTATTTTCATTACATGAACATCTCTGATAACAAAAGAAGGATTATTTTGCCATTCTCTGGTAGACAAAGAACAGAGATAGGGTAAAGAAATTTATTCTTAAAGTAACACTACAGAGTGGTTTTATAAAATATGATAACCATACATTAAATACATCAGTTGCACATCTTCCTTCAGTTGTACTGCAAGTGTTTCATGATTCTTTCAATTGTGTTGTTAATAAAACTACTTTTTGCTTACCTTTCCGCTCTCTTCAATTAAATCTTTCCAATGTTCTTCTGTCAGACATTCTACTTACGATTGATGTTACCTACTACTTATGTCTGTCAACATAAGCAGCATACAACACAACCATATTTCGTCCAACCGATTCAGGCCTCATTCATGATAAGTGATAGATTGACACAGTTATTTTAGGATTCAATCATCTTATTTGGTACAGGCTACTATTTTACTAAAAAACACAATATCCGTAAATTTAACTCGAGCATTAGACACTTGTTAGTCTCAGTGTACTTCATAATATATTGAAAATGCTAAAAGCAGCCAGCTGTCCTCTGCTTCTAGTTTAATACGAAAATACGTCCATTATGGTGACCGCTTTTCTAACAATGATAAACTCAAAAACATTGTTGAAAACCAGAAAGCAACGGACAAACGTTTCGTCTGAAATCTTGGTTAATAATCAGTGTTTGCTCACATCCTTAAATACTAAAGAAGCCAGATTCTCCAGTAGTTTTAGTCAATAAGATGCTTTCAAACAATGGATGATATTTCCAGTAGTTCATTTCTTGTAAATAATCGAGGTTGGAAAATATGGAGTTTTACTGTCTGAATCAGTGGTTTCAAGTTATTACACTCATCGTTGGGTCATAAGGTTCAAAATTTTGTTACCTAACGATGCACATTTTTGAGTTGTCTCAATATGAAACTTTTAGAATTATCAAATGTTCTCTAGTAGATATCGGTTTATGGTGAAAGTTATCTTCATATTATATTTATATACACGAAATAACTGTTTTCTCTTTTTTAAAGTTAAATTTTAAAAAATCTCATCTACATTGGTGTTTTAGGAATCAGATTCAAGTAGAAATTTACAGAAAAAATTAGGCTTAACAAGTTATTTTTGTCCAGTAACATTATGTGAATATGGTGTATTGCGTGCTGGTGATCCAGAAATTGTAGCTGTTCATCAAAATTTAGTTTATTACTTTTCTAATGAAGAGGCCAGATCAAAGTTTATGGAAAATGCAAATGTAATATTAAATGGTTCAAATGGATTATTAAAGGTTAGTTTTATAAAAGAAATATTGTATAATCCGAAAATTTGTTTTGTTTAGTCTACCGTTTATCTCTTTGTAGAATATTGAATGTGTTTAAAACATTTTTCACTACATTTTAAGCAAAGATGAATAGTGGCTACCAGTGGAATCCAGGACGCGCGTTTCATCCCAATTGGGACTCATCAGTTGGATGTGCTTGCATCGAGTCCCGGATTCCACTGCTAACCACTATCCATGTTTGCTAAAAAAGCTTGTGACTTAAGGCTATATCAAAGCAATCCGCACTGCATGCACATATGCCAACATGAAACTGATCAATTGCAGTCATAAGTATCAATGGGATGATACAAGTAAAACAACACCAAGTTAATTTTTCACTACTATTGCCAAATCATTCATGATGACTGACAAAAATACCTCGAATTAGGTTTTGTAAATGATATCACTATGACTATAGTTTAAATATGTTTTTTATAGCTTACTAAATATACAAATTAAAACACATCCTTCATTGTAGATATTTGTTAACTAACAAGCTTTTATTTTACTTTGTAATAATGGAATGAATGAGATATTCCGGTGGGGAAAACCAATTAATTGTTTAATGCACAATCACACAATGGTTTAATAAAAATGTGAAAATCATGCATCAAATACATCATTTGCACATCTTTGAATTGTCTCTTACAAGCTTCATCAATCCTTCATTTCTGTTGTTGTCTTGGTTGTCTTCAGTTCCCATCTTTCTTCTGTTCATTTCAATCTTCTCAACTTTCTGCTTGCAGGCATTTCACTCTCGACTGGTGTTAAATACTAGTTAGATCGACAAACATAAGTAGCATACATCACAATAAATTACAGATCATGGAGCAACCACGTTAATCAACAAATATATTTGACGGATGGACTTAATTTGTATTTAAGAAAAACGATTTCATCCGTAAGAATAACCATATAAAAAATATTCATTTTTTTATTATTAAGTTAGCGTTTTATCTTTTAACAGAATTCAGTGGTTTGTTTTATAATATAATCAGTATTGGTTGGTCGATTCATGATCTCAATCGAAAACTTAACAATCTCCACAACCACATACTGATAATTATCATGCGCTCACTAGTGGCTAGTTTCATGAGGGAATTCTCGGAGTTCTGATGAGAAACCGTGACCAATGGGGTCTAATCCGTGTCAGATCGAGACAGATATCTACCTCAGAAAATGGAAGATGGTCACGCTATTTCGTGGATTGATTAAGGTCAGACATTAACACTGTTGGATGCCTATTCAGTGGTCTGGATGTTGAGCGTTTGCGTGAAAAACCGGAGGTTCTGTGTTCGAATCCCGAGAGCTGGATTGTGGATTCGCACTGCTGTAAAGTCCCACACTATGACGAAACGGCCATCGATTGCTTCCAGGCTTTATTAATAAAAGTCAATTTGTGATAAACAGTTAGGATATTTCAATAAATGTTGATATAACATTTTCGAATTTTTCTTCATTGAATTTTAGTATTTTTATTATTATTATTATTATTATCACATATTTGTAAATTCTAGAAAATGGATTTAGATCAGATAATAATCTTCACTAACTACTATGTTCATAGGGGTTTGTATTGATTTCTTCATTTATTCACTGACTTTCTTATATTTTAGATTAATTACAATAATCAGTCATTGAATATTAACCAATATAATACATATTTGGCCAGTTTGATAAATCGTTATATTATGTTGTGATTTCATTTACATGCTCAGATTCTATTTTTTTATATCGATTTTTAATTGATAGAAAGGTTAACATTTTTTTGGTTTCTGTCTTTTGATGATGTTATTCATAAAATCGATAAATAATGTAACTCGTATACCCAGTACATAATTTTTGAAAAGTTTATTGCTTAAATGAAATTAAATGAAATAAAAGTTGGAAATGTGAGCTATTTGCTTAAAGAAAAGTAGTTCAACCCCTAAGTTACTACTTCCGACAAAAGCCATGTAAGCAGATGCTAATCAGATCCCAATTTTTTGGGGGGATAAATACGCCAAAACTGTTTAGTTCAATTCAGCTGTCTAACTGACATAATCATCAATTTTTATGAACTTTAACCTGTAAATTTAAACTCGTTTCTGATTGTCAAGATTAATTTGAGTGAAAAAACCACAGTTACAATTAAATTTTTTCATTAGCATAGTAGATGATCATTGAAGTGTCGTTGAGAAAATTTCTTTAAATGTAACTTTTTGTTTCCCAAACACTGATAAGTATCAGCCATTAACAAAAAAAATTATTTTCACTATTTCAACAATTCGTTTAAAAAGACAGGAGTGCTTTTTAGCAAAGTTGTTTTTTACGGGATGAGGTTGCTGACTTCATGCCTAACCGTCTTCCATTCCCCAGGCTTGGGACCGGAAGTAAGTCTAGAAGAACTACAGATGGAGTTAAGGATATAAAAAGGTTAGTAATTGGTTAGAGATTCACAGTTCAATGAAAGAAACAAATAAGTTTGAAAGCCAAATTGTTCATATTACAATAAATAATAAATTATGAGGTGAAATAATCGGACTCGAAAAAATATATACTTTCAAAAATATAATTAGTTTCACATCACCTATCAACCATATTGTGTTGCTCTAGTTAAAGTATGTACACACTGTGTGTACACACTGCACTTCAGAATCAAATCGGTCATTCCATTTCCAACATACTCATTAGAAGGGTAATATCAATTTGTGGAATTAAGTTAATAATAACTTGTTAGTTAATAAATAAATGGAATGTAAAATATTTTTTTGATTCCTGTTTGATTATTGCAAAATATAATAAAGAGTCAGCTAAAAAAACTAAGTGTCAGCTGTTCACGAGATTTTTTTAGCAATGTAACATTTACATCTTGATGCTTTTACTTCTAAACCATTAGAAATTCTGAAAAAAACTAGTAAACTATTTTTTTCTTCAATGATCCATTTAGTTTATGATAACATATGTGTTAATTTTAAAATGATAGAGAGAATTTGTATAAATGTTCGCTTTCTAAAAAACACTAGCCTCCACCGCCAAGAATCTTAATACTTGGACCAACTGGTACAGGGAAGTCTTTGCACAGTCGTCAAATAGCATTGAATTTAAATCTAGTACATATTGATTTCTTAAGTTTATTACAAGAGATAACATTTCCAAAACTTGGTAAGAGGATTGGTAAACAGTATGCAGATCAAGAACCTATACCGGATATTGTATTACCTCCGTAAGTTATAGAATATATACGGTTGTTATAAATTTCCTATCCTTATACATTTATATGAGTAGTATTTATTAGTACTTACATGGAATTTTGTAAAAATTGATTTTAATAACAAATTCTTATATGCCTGCTTACATTCATGTTGAATATCGTTTTACTTAAGTTTATGATAACATTACAAGTTGAAAAATTCACAACCGAGAATTCTTTTTTTAAGAGTCTTTCAAGTTTCTTTAAAATATTATTCTTACTTTTGATAATTCTTGCTAAGTGAACGCTATATTCGGTTCCAAAGCTCTTCTAGTAACCCCCAAGCTAGAATTACACAGCGACTTTAACACGAGATCAAACGCGCAAAATATACATGAAGCACTCTTCTCCAAAGGCTCATTTATGTACACAAAATATGGGTTTTTTAGTATTTTAGATGTCCTGGGGTTTTATCGAAAATTTTAGAATGCTACTAAACATAGTAGCAGTGTAGTAATAATCTAATCAGAAACTTAAAATGTGATTTTCCAATTTCTAGATGTTTCTGGCAAAACTTCTAGTGAACGCCGATTGGATAAGATGCTTCCCAATGTTTTCAGAGCCTTTCTTGGCTATTTTCGAGGAGTTTTCTGGATCTCACCAACACTTCTAATAAATAAATGAATCTAAAATGTTTTCTCTATTTTATTTCATTTATCAAGTAAATATCTTGATCATGATAGATATTGATAAAGATAATAATCATCAAATGAACAATTAATTATATTCAATTCGGTTTAGGAAAATGATAAACATAGTAGATGTATCATAATAGAATTAGTGAACATGTTCTCATGAAATCAAGAGACTATACTCTTTTAACACCACACACTTTAATATAAAACAAATATACATTGTCTTTCGGTTTATAATTTATATTGCTCTATTTATTCTTTTTCTCTTGATTATAAAAGACTTGAAGAGTCAGTAAATGAAAATGATGAGAAAAGAGAAGCATCAGAGGATGTAATACAAAAGCCAAATTTAACAGAAATAACAGATGAGTCAGATAAATCGCTTTTGTTAGATGAACATGAAACAAATGTTTATGAATATCTATTAAATTCTACATCAATACCTAATGATACATTAGAATGGTTACTTGGAAAGTTTTGGAAACAAGAACCATATAAATCGACTGGTTTCATACTGGATGGTTTTCCTCAAAGTGTAGAGGACCTGCAGTTTTTAGTAACATCAAACTATTTTTTTGATTATGCAATATTTTTAACCGCTGAAGCTGATGAAGTTGTCTCCAGATTATTACCACCTAGACTAGAGATATGGCGTAAATTGATGGCAAAAAAAGCTGAAAACGCAGCTAAATTGATGGAATGGAAAACTGCCAAAAAGGTTAGTATGAGAAATTAGTGCTTTCTAAACAAATATAAACTATCTAATCTAGTCAATTTAATAAATTCTGTGTCATTATTGTTTGAAACTGTATGTTATCCTCTGGTTTGGACTGTTACCGCTTGTTTACTTTGATAACAAATCTTGTTACAAACTATTAGTTTGACCTATTTCATCTTCATATTTAGACTGGTTTGTTTTCTGAATATCGTCTTCGACCAATGAATATGTTACTTCCAAATTGTTAAACTACTATCACCTGTTACATTCTCTGACCAGATATAAGTGAAAATCTAGGATATACTCCATAATATGCATAAATAAGTATAGAATTAGGTACAAATTTATGATCGATTTCCCATATGAACAATATTCATTTGAATACTTTGTTGGATATATATCTGATGAATGACGTGACATCCAAATGAACTTCGAATTAATCACAGTTTGGGAATAGTTGCACGGATGAATAATATTCATTTCATGACATTTAATACAAAATAACAAGTTTATTACCACTTGAAATCAAAACAGAATAATGAATTATTACCTTATGTCCCAGTAATTAGACTAAATATCAACAAATACTATGAACGAAGAATATATTCTCTTCAAATTCTACAATTATATATTCAAAATTATAATCCAAAAGTAGGTCAAGTTTAAGGTAAATACATCGTTTAATATATTATATCGTTTCAATTATCTCTCTCAAACCATATTACTTATATCCTACAATATCATTTAAAATAAAAACTTGTTCAAGTTGACATTGTATGTTCGTCATCTTGACACTAACAAATTTATGTTTATTAAAAAAATTCTGAATTCATATGGATATATTTTGCCTTAAATCTGATCACCTTTTGGATTAATATTTCGGATATATATATATATATATATATATATATATATATATATATATATATATATATATATATATATATATATATATATATATATATACAGTTGCAGAACATGAAGAGAATTAATTGTGAAAAATTATTCTTTGTTCATATATTTGTGTTTCTAATATGATGGGAATATTCCAGAGACTAAATATCAATTTTAACTGTTATAATTATACGTAAGTATATCACTTGAACTTTAAAAATCTTATGAAGAAAAGATGGTATAAATCTTTAGTTACTTTTAAACATTTGGGGATATACTGTAGTGATTCAGACCTCAAATGGGTATAACCAATTTAATGTTTATAGAGTGGGTTCGTAAAATATGATAACCTTACATTAAATACATTATTTGCATATCTTCCTTCACTCGCCCTGTACGTGCTTTATGATTCTTACAATTTTATTGTTATTTCGATTACTCTCTATTTCCCTTACTGTTTTCTTTAATTCAATCTTCTACTGGTAGACATCCAACTTTCGATTACTGCTACGTACTACTTATATCTGTCAACATAAGTAGTATGTATTACAATAATTTATCAATTAATTGCTATCACATAAGTAACTCAATACCTTGCACATAAATGACTCAAAACTATTACTCCATAATGATCAGTTTCATGACCAGTGTCCTATAAGAAACTTATATGTCCTCTTTATTGATCTGTCGTTTTTTAGATTCCTTTAAAACTATTTCCCCTTATTTTATTTTTACAGAAATTGGCCTTGGACAAAAGACGATCGGAAATACTTAAGGAATTAGAAGAGAAGAGAGAAAATGCAAGAGTAAGATCTCTAATTACATGTTATGAACTCATTTACATGTGAATTCGTTCTTAATACGATTAATCCTGTGGTAAATATATATATATATATATATATATATATATATATATATATATATATATACCACTGGTGTATAAGAATAAGTCCATTTAGAATATTATAACTTCATCTGGGTTTCTCATAACTGTTTTTCTTCCAATCAATGATTTGATTTTTTGAAAGAATCTGGTTAAATTTCAAGAATTCATTTTATCTTGTTAGGTATTTGGTTGACATTGTAATATCACTAGTTTCACTGTTTTTACAATGTATACTGTCTTCCTAATAGTCTTGCAAAATTGTAAATATGTTATGTACATGTGTAAACATAATCAGTTCTAATGAACTGTACAGATAACTGGTTAACGTGTTGAATAAACTTACATTACTTGTTAACAGTAAATTTTCATCGATTGAGACGTCTGGTAAATGTGATACGCATACCCAACCACCGTCTACTTCGATGTGAGATGTCTGGTGTAATAGTAATCTAGAAGAAAGCTGAAGGCAACCAAATCAAAACATGGCATCAGTCTATGAAGACACTGCTAATCGGACAAGTGTAAACTACCTGTTTGGTGTACGCATGATTATCGTCACCAATGATTAGAGATAGGGCGATATGGCTCAAAATCATTTAGAATGGCGCAGGTGTATCCAGTATTTGTCTTCTCCCAGATTAAAGTGTTTTTGTTATAATAATTAAAGGTCATAAAGGTGTAAAATAAATAAGGTACTATGATGAGCATTTACGAATCAAAACAATGGGAATATAAGACTTAAGTAAAGGGGGGAATGCCCGCAATGGCATCCGCACAACAGCACCCTCCACCTCTCCTGGTTGGGAGCGACATCAAATGCAGTGAACAAAACACCAGTGTGGACAATGGGATGTATCTGACCACATGATTACAGAGTATCTCAATAAAATCTGAGAACCGTATATTAAATCGTCAATTTGCAAAATATCAATCCATCATATCAAACTTAACTGTTCCTGTTGCAAACATCAATCCATTGTCTCAGATTTCGTTGTTCATGCATTTTCATACCAATTGAGTTTCGTTTCCGTTCTTTCCTCATCGGTCTTCTACTGAAATACATTCTATGCCTGACCACCGTCATATACTACTTGTGTGGATATAAATAAGCCACACAACAATAATATGAAGATTTTTAAAATTTCCATAATAATTCCTGTTCATTGAGAAACCTCTGTAAAGTAGTTTATTTTGAATATGTATTCATAAACTGTAGTTGATTCACAATGTAACATATTCATCACTGACTTCCTGTCTTCCTATAGAACAATATTCTGCGTAAGTCACATTTTGATGATTACTGACCATATTTTCTACAGAAACATTACTTTTGTCGGGTGGATGAGAGGAAATAGGGATTGGTTGTTTTCCTTGAGAGACTAGTAAATAGTTTGAAGGGTATTTGATGTCATATATACGTATATATCCTTCTTGTATTTAGTTGATGGTCCATTGTCAACAGTACAGGTCCTAGTCGGACGGGTCACTCGTTCTTGATTTGGGTTATGTTGATCCCTGGTAGAATAGAGCTGGCTAGGTAGCTAGTATAAAATGGGTAAATTGTGCACTCAGATAAATAGTTCATTGTTTGTTACAAACAATTTAATGTTACATTAGTTTAGGGGGGAAAAACAAGCGTTATTTCAATTTTCAACTGAGTATTTTAAAAAATGCTTTGTATTTCATATTTTTTTATTTCATAACTTTTCCAATGACTATTGTGAACTCTTAAATACGATAATTATGATGTTAATCAACTACGGATGAAGTGCATATTACAATTGAGTTACTTTTTTCTATTGAACGAGTTTTAGATAAGTTTTCTTGAGTTTCTTCAATTTTTTAATAGATGAAACAAACTTCTGATGATCCGGATGTTGAAGAAGATGAAGAACTGGAGGATGAAGTTGATATTGATGAAATGCTGGCAGAAGAATTTGCTGTAAGTTCATCATTACAAATATTACCATTATTCAATAATAATCCTTTTTTAAAATCAGGAAACCTGTTCACTCGTTGAGTGATTTTTAAATGATTGAGGTTAAAAACTAGCATCGTTAGATGCTAGCTAGGCGGTTTAGAGGTTTAATATTCACACGTGAATCCGAATGTGAGGGATCTTGAATGCGCTCTGGTGAGAAATCTTATACCAGGATGAAACGGCAGTACAGTGCTTATAGGTTTAAAATGGTGGCCTTGGTTAGATCAGTTCATGATTATTGATTAATGTGTTCGAAATCAAACTGTACAATATATCGCATTTTATTGGATATTTTTAATCTAACATTATGGTAATAGTTGGGAACAATGAAGTTTATTAGCTTGTATTTGGCGGAAGAGAAAGCAACGAAATACAGTGAACTAACCGTCGTTCTTGCTTCCTTTAAATATGTAAAGCGAAACAAATCCATTAATTAGATATTTCTGTTTTGTTATGATGTCATTGCTTCTTATATACTTTGAACCTTCATACTTTTTCTCTTATTGTTTCTCATTTACGAAGTACAGGTTTATGCACCCAGCTCTAAACTACAGTGTTTATGTGGCTATACAAACCAAAGATGCAACAGGTTTCGAACCCGTGACATCTGAACTGAAATCAAGTCTTTAGTCTTTACATTACTACGTCACGAATTTATGTGAAATGTTTCTTTATTAGCATAAGTTTTTTATAAGTGAAACGGTTAATTATTTATTTTACTTGACGTTAATGATATAGCATTTGGCTTATAAAAAACGTGTATAAGCCAAGTCTTGGTACGAATGTAATCCATTCCGCTGTTCATTAACATACTAGGAGCAAGTATATTATTCGTCAACCCTGTCTGTGACCATCCGCACATGAAACATGGACACTGAAAACCGATATATATAGGAAATGTTAAACTTCCGAACTATTGGTGAAATGAGCACAATAATTTGAGAGGGTTAAAATCAGTGTTCTGAGTGTAAACATAAATGAATCGATTAGATTATAAAACTGTCTGTTAAGATTGTTGAATCGTCTGTTACTGATCGCAACTGACTGTCTTCTTTAAACACATAATACTGGCCACTGTTATGATTTTATGTCCGCCTTTCGATCAGGTGACTTATCCACCAATCAGAATACGAATTATACAAATCTTCGCACTATGACAAAACCAATGACGTTCAACCGGTCTGAGCAGTCTAGCGTCCTTATTGGGTCCTATGTCCTTCTAACCCGTCCGCTTGAGTCTAGAACACAATACCAATTCCTGTAATATGAAACGAATCGGATAAAATAAAATCAATTCATTTATTTCAGACATACTCGGTTTGTATATCAACCAGACAAACCACAACGTACCATAAAATAGAAAATAACATAGGTACACAAATAAACCAAAAAGTGGCTGTAAACGCGGGAGACAGCAATTAATAAACTGAGTATAACATGGGAACAATAAATCGTACAATAATAATTTTTAGGTCAGAATGAAGCTTATAATAAGGGGAATATAGATATATATGATCCAGTTACTGAATAATTATACCATAAGAATATATAGGTAATATTAGTCCGTCAATGGGTTTCAGAAGGTACTCGTAACATAATCTTCGTCAGGCCATAACAGCCACTATAAAACTATGCAAAGAAATTGATAAAAATAAGTAAACTGAAATTGGAATTCGTTGTTGAAGCAACTAACTGGTAGCCTAAAATATTCTCCACTAATTATCCTTGAGTTATCACAAATCTGTGGATGTTAAGACTTCCATCGCTACATCGATTAGATTTGTGATGAATGAAATAAATGGGTAGTAAATAATCACATAAATAAACTTGAGTAGTACAGTTTTAAAGCATTTTGCTTAAGACATTTTTTACTAAATTGGATGTGACATTCTGTGAATAAGAGTACAAATCGCCAAAATTGAAAAAAAAACCAAAAACGAAGCATTTTATGATTTTAATCTATTAAAATACAATGTTTATAACACGAAGTAATTCTATAAAGGATTGGATAGTAGTTTTCATCTAAAATTAACATCAACTGGAAAATTGTGCAAAACACGAACTTACTTACTTACTTAATTACTTGCCTACTTACTTACTTACGCCTGTTACTCCCAATGGAGCATAGGCCGCCGACCAGCATTCGACAACCCACTCTGTCTTGGGCCTTCTTTTCTAGTTCCATCCAATTCTTGTTCATTTTTCTCATGTCTATCTCCATTTCCCGGCGTAATGTGTTCTTTGGTCTTCCTCTCCTCCTTCGGCCTTGAAGATTCCACGTGAGTGCTTGTCTTGTGCTTTCCTCAATGTGTGTCCTATCCACGTCCAGCGCTTTTTTCTGGTTTCTTCCTCCACTGGAATCTAGTTTGTTCTCTCCCATAGTAGGCTGTTGCTCATAGTGTCCGGTCAACGGATCCGAAGTATTTTGCGTAGACAACTGTTAATAAACACCTGTATTTTCTGGATGATGGCTTTCGTAGTTCTCCAGGTTTCCACCCCGTACAATAAACCTGTCTTGACATTTGTATTGAAAATCCTGACTTTGGTGTTGGTTGCCTATTGTTTTGAGTTCCAGATGTTCTTCAGTTGTAGATATACTGCTCTTGTTTTGCCGATCTGTACCTTCATATCTGCATCAGATCCACTGCGTTCATTGATAATGCTGCCCAAATATGTAAAGGTTTGTACATCTTCCAGATCTTCTCCGTCAATTTTGATTCGATTGGTGCATGCTGTATTGCACTGGACCATCTTGCTTTTCCTCTAGTGTATATTGAGACCTATTGCTGCTGAGGCTTCTGCTACACTAGTCGTCTTCTCGTGCATTTGTTGTTGCGTTTGCGATAGAAGAGCCAGATCATCTGCGAAGTCTAGATCTTCCAACTACATTCCAGCTGTCAACTATATCCCGTGCTTCTCTTCAGATTATGTCTTCATGATCCAGTCGATCACCAGGAGAAAGAGAAACGATGAGAGTAAGCAAACTTGCCTGACACCGGTCTTTACTTCGAACGACTTTGTCAACTGTCCTCCATGAAAGATTTTGCAGTTTAATCCATCATAGGAATTCCATACGATATTGACTATCTTTTCAGGCACGCCGTAGTGTCGAAGAAGCTTCCATAGTGTTGTTCTATCCACGCTATCAAATGCTTTTTCGTAGCCAATGAAGTTGCTGTAGAGTGATGAATTCCACTCAATTTTTCCTGGTATTGAGAGAAGGGTGATGCCCCTGTAGTTATGACAGTTGCTGAGATCGTCTATCTTTGGTAATTTGACCAGAAGTCCTTCTTTCCATTCTGCTGGTACTTGCTTCTCATTTCAAATCTTATTGAAGAGAATGTGGAGTGTCCTTGCAGTTACTGCTGCGTTTGATTTCAGTGACTCTGCTGGAATGTTGTCTGGTCCTGCTGCTTTGCCACACTTGATTTGTCTGATAGCCATGCTGATTTCTTCGATTGTTGGTGGGCCAACATCGATTGGGAGGTCCGTGAGTGCTGCTTCGATGTTGGGTGGGTTCAGTGGGGCTGGTCGATTCAAGAGTTCTTTGAAGTGTTCTACCCATCTGTTTCGTTGTTCTTCAATGTTGGTGATTATCTTGCCTTCCTTGCTTTTCACTGGTCGTTCTGGTTTACGGTGATTTCCAGAGAGTTTCTTTGTTGTGTCATACAATTGTCTCATGTTTCCTTCTCTTACAGCGTTTTCCGCCGTCACTGTTAAATCTTCCACATATTTACGTTTTTCGGTTCTGATGTTCCTCTTCACTTGCTTGTTTACTTCTGTGTATTCAGCCTGTGCCTTGACTTTTTCTGCCCTTGTTCGACTGGTATTGATTTCTGCCTTCTTGTTCCTCCTTTCTTGAATCTTATCCAGAGTATAAACAGTGATCCATTCCTTGTGATGGTGCTTCTTGTGGCCCAGAACCTCATGACATGTTGAAGCGATTGTCTCTTTTATCTCTTTCCAGCTGCTCTCCATAGTAGTTCCTTCTCCATTGAGTAGATCATGAAAGGCCTGGAACATATTGCTGAGGGTTATCTTGAATTTGTTGAATTCGTCATTATCCCGAAGAATAGCCGTATTAAACTTTTGTGATATTGTCCGTCTTGTTGTCCAGTGCCTCCTGAGTTTCAATTTCATCTTGGCGACCAGCAAGTGATGATCTGATGCTATATCAGCTCCCCTCTCAAAACATGAAAACTGAACATCTATCCAATAACAGTTTCGATGATAGAAAAATGAATTTCTTATTATCACTTATCAATAAACGAAAGTAGGATTAAGAATAGTGGAGAACAGTTAAATCCAGAACGCGTGTTTCGTCCAATTTTGGACTCAGTAAATAAGTAGACAACATGATGGCGTTTGAAGCGAACAGTACTGAGTTTGAGTCGCAGAGTGAACAGCAACTCTGAGATGTAGGTACATCAGGATGACGAGTCCCAAATCAAAGTAAACGCCCATTCTGGATTCTACTGCTACCCACCATCCATCTTTTCGATGATGCTTGTAACTCAAGGCAATCCAGACAGTGTGGACATATATCAATAAGAGACTGGTCAATCGCAATCCTAAACATTAATAACATTCAAACAAACACTAAAAAAATGAATTAAAAGTAGGATTATTTATTCATGGGTTATCATTGCTTTTTAATACTTTTAATTTCATCAAGGATGATGAAGAGGAAATGGGTGATGAGGAAGAAGAGACTGAAGCCGATGTTGTAGAACGATTAACAGAAGAGATCACTGAAACATTTAATGATTCGAATGATGTTTTTACAGAAATATCTGAACAAATTGATGATTTATCTATACCAAAGTATGAAATTAATGCTGGTGGTAAAATTACATGGGCTCGTTATCGAATTGTTAAAGTGGGTAAAACATTACATAGTTTTATTTTATGTTTTCTCTTACTCCATTAAACAGATGTCATAATGTTGTTTTGAATGACAGAGAAGGTTTTTAAATTAACCAATTTATCTATCTGAGAAAATGCAGCGCCGCCAAAAACATCTACCTGAACCTCTTTGAATTATCCCTTTGCTAATAATCTTGGGTAAAAATATGAAAAATAGGTGTATCAAGACAACCCGTACAAAATACACAAACACCAACAAAAGCAAATTAAAATTCAGTCATGATTATCGGTAACGGGATAATTCAAATCGTTTCTAATAATGTTATGTTTGACTAAGCTTTTTGAAAGTTCTGCCTTTATTATCCGAGTAAATCATCTACAAATAATGTCACGAACTTCATTTGGGGAGTGTTTAATTCTCTAAACTTGATATGTTAATCCATACACACCATTTTGTCAAGGTAGATCCAATTAGTTTTCTGCGTTAGATTTAGTTTAATTTTCTTTTTCCTTGATCTAATCACTGAGACTATAGATGTCCATTATTTTTTTACTGGACAATTGATTAGGCGTTTTTCAATGTGTACATTGATTATTGAGTAGCATGAGTATAAGAAACTACTATGGATGACAATTGAAAAGGGATCAAAGAGGCACTAACTGCAACTTGTCTGGAGGCATCATACAAAATAGATCGCTACCGAAAACCATAGACGAGATTCAAGAAAAGAAGAACAAGAAGACAGCAATTAACAACAGTCGAACAAGAGCAGAGAAAGTCAAGGCGCAAGCTGCATACAAACTAGTGAAAAACAGCATTAGAGCTGACAACCATAAATGCGTAGAAGGCCTAGTAACGGCAGTGGAAAACTCTGCAAGAGAACGAATTATAAAACAACTATATGACACAACGAAGAAACTAGCGGGGAAATATGGTAAACCAGAGAAACCAGTCAGGGACAAAGAAGACAAACTAATCACTGAAATTCAAGGACAGAGGAACAGATGGTTGGAATACTTCGAGGAACTCCTAAATAAACCAGCTCCATTGAATCGACCAGAGATCGAAGCAGTACATACAGCCCTTCCTATAGATGTCACTTCATTAACGATCGAAGAAATCAGGATGGCTGTCAGACAAATCAAGAGCGCGAAAGCAGCAGGACCTGACAACATATCAGCTGATGCACTGAAGCCAGACATAAAAGTAACTGCAAACATGCTCCACGTTCCATTTAGGAAGATTTGGAAGAAAAAACAGACTGGAAAGATAGATACTTCACCAAGATACTAGAGAAATATCTGAGCAAATGCAAGAACTATAGAGTCATCACAGTACTGTCAGTACTAGGAAATGTTTTCAATGGAGTGCTGCTGAAGTGAATGAAATATTCAGTATACGCCCAACTTCTATATCAACAGACAGGATTCCGTAAGAATCGGTCGTGCACAGACCAAATCGCAACACTACAGATCATCGTTGAGTAATCAATTGAATGGGATTCATCACTATAAATCAACTACATTGACTGTGAGAAGGCGTTTAGTGGTGTGGATAAGAGAATCTTATGGACCCTTCTCCGACACTATGGTGTACCTAAAGAGATCGTCAATGTCATACAGAATCTATACGATGGACCACAGTACAAAGTCGTGCATGAAGGAAAGCTGGCAGACGCTTTCTAAGCAAGCACTGATGTCAGACAATGTTGCCTACACCCCCTTTCTCTTTCTCCCAGTGGTTGACTGGATTATGAAGACCTCGACATCTGAGGGGAAGCACAGAATAAAATGGACGGGTTGTATGCGACTAAATGGTTTGAAATTCACAGATGACCTGACTCTTCTATCCCATAAGCATCAGCAAATGCCGGTCAAGACAACCAGTGTACCAGCAGCTTGCGCAGCATCAGGCCTCAACATACACAAAGGAAAAGTAAGACCTTGAAATATAACACAGAGAACAACTGTAAACCAATAATCAAAGTCAGAATCTTCAATACGAACGTTAACACGAGGGCATCTATATATTTTCTATTTTGAATATAGTTAGTAGACAGCTGAATTTATTGATCACTGGGTTATTGTTACTTTAATCGACAATTTTATCATTTTAGATTGACTTTTTGGTGGCTCGAGATCTGACTTCATTTGGATCGTAGGAATGGTTGCTATTGAAATATACATATCGTGAATTATCACCTATAATCGTCCACCTAAATCGCGTCGGTGAATAACGGAATTAAATAAGTCAAATACGAGAACTAAGTTAGAATGTATATATTTCATACAATCGTTGATCGGAAAGTGAAGCAAAACGAAATGACGCACAATGGAGGGACTGAGCCAATTCAAATCAGTCAAGCGTGAATCGATCTTTATAGTTATAAAAATAAATTACAAACATGTAATGAGATGAGAAATGCACACACATACAATTACATAAAAGCGGTTAAGGTTCATAAGCGAATAATTAACAAGGTCAAAATGTGACTCCAAAATGATGAATAAATTGACCTGTCCGGAAGCTAGAATAAACTATTGTGGGGTCACATATCAACTGACACTACAACTTTCGATAAACTTAGTCGTCTGGTTGTATTGTATTGGTTCATAATAATAGTTCATTGTTTCACTCATTATGTTTTATCCTGTTTTTCTTACTAAGGACAGCTTGACATTTGGGTCCGCATTTGTGACTCTGTGTCTATTAAGAGAGAAAAAATCTAGTCTTTTCATCCCTGCTTCTATAATCAGTTCACGTACAGATGTTTCCTTCGTTTGTTTGTATATTATATTGCTGAACTAAAAATATGGTGTCTGAAGTAGATCTTTAAGTTCAGTTAATCTCAATCTTTAACGTTTTCTAGTACCGCAATGATTTCCATCAATTTTGAATAACAGAAATACTGTATACAAGTACATAAATTTATACTTCCAGTGTTGATTGAGTTAAAGCAAGTATGGGTGAGACCCCTAATAATACCATTAATCTGTTATTTTAGACTTGAATATATTTGATAAATCCAATCATAATCGATTGTATCTATAATTACAATGGTGCACCCTTTATCAATTAAAAAGTAGTGGCATTCAGTATTTGGGGTCCATTTTCGAATACTTAAAGGTTTATTGTGAACTATCATCCGAACTGTTTGGTTTGAATAATATCTATGATAAATACTAACCTAAACATTCTTATAATATTCTGTCATTGATATGAGTAACATTTCATCATTGGAGCTTCCGAAAATTAATTTCCTGTTGGAAGATCCTTTTGTCGACTTGAAGCTTGGACTGAATAACGTTCTACTTAGTAAAGACGTTGACAAAATACAAATTTTTTTTAATAAATTGTTTCAAACGGACAAAAGTTTTTGAATGTCTTTCTTTACTTTCAAAATCTAAATACTGCTTATGAACCGATCTTCATGAATCCCTATTTCACTCCATTGAGTTAAACAGTTTATTTTGTTGAGCACTTCCACCAACTTTAGTCCTATTAGCATTATTGATTTAATGACAAACTGAAATCAACAGGAAAATAAGTTAATTAGCAGGGTTTTATCAACCCCTTCCTTACGTAGTACAAGCTAAGTGTCTTTTTGGATATTAAATACTATGCGCACTGTACAATGTATCACTAATACTCTACGGCTGTAAAATATTATTGCTTGAAACCAAAGACATATGCAGTTTGTTAATATTTGATCTCAAATACCTTCGAGATATTTCTAACTTTTAATTGACCCACATAGTGATTATTGTTCTTGATAGTTGTTAGATAGTAAGCAGAAACGGTGAATTGGTCGATTAAATTGTGAACCGAAACTGTATAAGTTATATATGACATGTTACCCATACCTATCTACCCACCTATTATCCAAATATTTGATCTTTGTTATCAAAGGGGCGAAATGTTACTTGGCGAAGTTGTTATTATTTTACAAAGTTACTGACTTTAGAAATAAGCACTCTGAAAGGATACATATTTATCAGTCAATGTTTATGAACTATATTTAAAGACCTTAGATAATAAAACTTAAAATCGATCACAATAAAGTAATTTTGTTCACTTTCTTTTATTCTCTAGATTTTACTTTCTCAAAATTATTCTTTCTCTCAGAATATGTTCTTTAACTATGGCTCATCATTGACATTAGTATTGTTATTTCGACTTTGATTTTTTAATTTACTCTCATTATGTCGTTTAGAATTGTCGGAACTGGAGCTACATCATACATTAATTATGACTAAATAAATAGTATTTAATTTAAAATAATAGACATTCATTGATAACTTATACAAAGCCATATTTATGTCGGTATTTCATTCTTTAGCGCTTACATAGTTTATTAGAGAACCGAAACTCATTATTTGAACGTGTCTATCCAGTTACACCAAAAATTGCCGAACGTTTGTTAGTTAATGGCCATTATTTTCCAAGCTCATACGGTCGATGGTGTCCAGTTACATTATACTTTCAAAATGCATGGCTTCCACCTATTCCAATGCCTAATATAAAAGTTGGTAATCCGAAATATTTGAGTAAATTACCTGGGATTATTGGTGAAACATTACCCTTAGTTAAAGCTAAAACATGTGCTGCAACTTATAAACAACATATCTATTGGTTTATGAATTCTAATGCTCGTGGATTATTTATGAAGAATCCTTTGAAGTATACACAGAAATATACAGATCCACCATTTAGAGTACCATTAAGATTACATATTATAGGACCTCCGAAAAGCGGCAAGACAACTAGTAAGTTTACACTTTCAATAAAACATTAATAAAAATTAATGTTGTTTCTAATTAATTAGTTAGTATTTATTGATTCTTTATTTCTCAATAGTTATCTTTTCTGTTAACTACTTAATTCCGGTTAGCGTTTTTTAGCAAGGTTTTTTCTACGCAATAGAGTTGATGACCCCATACACAACCCTTATTCTTTACCCCGGCTTGAAACCGGCAGTAGCCATAGAACAACTACAGGCGGAGTTATCTGCTTAATACATATTATTATTCTGTCCTGAAAAACAATCAATAAACTGAATTTATTCTTTCAACTTAAATTTATACAAAATGTTATCTGTCGTCCGTATGTAATAAAGAAATGATAAAAAAACATATCAAGGATTTTATTTATCTGTTCAGAATAATGTTTGATTAGCAGTGAAATCCAGAATGCGCGTTTCGTCTTATTTCGGACTCATCAGCTGGATATGCCTGCATATCGGAATTGATGTTCACTCTGGGAACTCGAACCCAGTGCTGTTCGCTTTAAACATCATCGCGTTATCCACTTAACTACTGATTCTTGATAGCCACCTGCATGTGCACTAAGGTGAAGTTTTAAATTCACTTGGCGATGTTTGCTTGTATCTTCCCATTGTTATTTAGGACTGCTATTGACCATATGTGCATGCTATGCGGTACCGGATTTGAGTCTCAAAGTGGACATCAACTCTGAGATGCAGGCACGTCCAGGTGATGAGTCCCAAATACGACGAAACGCGCGTCAAACTGAATTCCACTACTAGCTACTATTCATCTTTGTTTATAAAGCTTGTGAATTAAGGCGATATCGAAGCAGTCCATATAGGATACATATATGTCAGCAAGAAAATGATCAATTACAATCCTAAATAATAATGGGGAAGATACAAGTAAACAACAATTTAATGTTTGATTAGATTTTCATTTACAAATAAGAAATTTAATTAAATGAAAACAGTTTTCATGATAAAATGACAATAAGTTTTATTTATTCTACAGAAAAGTAGTTTTTATGAAAGAAAGTAGAATAAAATTAACAGAGAAACCCCAACCTATGAAAAGAGTTACTTACTTACTTACTTACTTACGCCTGTTACTCCCAATGGAGCATAGGCCGCCGACCAGCATTCTACAACCCACTCTGTCCTGGGCCTTCTTTTCTAGTTCCATTTAGAGAAAATGAGGCTAGGAGTGTACTTGATATGAGCTAATTACTTATATATATATATATATATATATATATATATATATATATATATATATTCGTATTGTGAAATTGTTTCTTTTTGTATTCATTTAATGATTTAAAGTAATAGAAATTTGCAAAAAAAAAATAGTTTTATAAACAAAAGTTTTAAGGTTAAGTGTTTACATGTGAGGTCATAGGTCCTGAGATTGATTCTCGCTGATGAGATCATGAATGGGCACTGCTGAGTAGTATTATGCGAGGATGAAACATATGTCCAGTGCTCTTAAGTTTTCAATGTCAGTTTACCTAAGATCAGTTTAGAATTTTTTTTAATTTTGAGAATGTTATTAGATGAATTTGATTTTGAACAACTAGCTACAGGTTCATTCTGTGAGATGATGTATCGATCAACCAGTCAGTTAATATTCTATGTGTAGGATACGTCCTCACTATATAAAGTTCACCACGAAATGGGTTTATAGTAATTAAAAAGACCAAACTATTCTAGTTCATTAATAAATATATTTTAAACCTTCACACCTTTTACCCATTAATTTATATTGTCTGAATTCTATTTCATAGTCTCTTTAATTATCTTACGCTTTCAAAATAGAGTTAATCAGGGAACGTAATTTTGTTTGACTTATTTTTGTTATTCTGAGTAAAAATAAATAAATTATTTCCGATATGACGAGATATGATGACATTGTAGAGATCAATAATTTTTTGTCAATTAATTATGAATTTCTAATATGGTTGCACATATGAACTTCAATCAACGTGGCGTTTTAAGATCAATATTTCTAGGATTATTTCGGTACAAACTCTTTTATTATGACAAGTGTGAACTTTCAGCGTGACGATTATATTTCCTTGATCTGTTTATGTGAACCACATTCAGTGTGTTTTCATAGTAACTCTATGTATTTTCCTCAAAATGTGAGATTAACGTGTCAAAATTGTTATATAAATGATTGTATTTTCGTCTAATGGCGATGTGATTTTGGAACATGTTTAGGGACGTTATTTTTTGGGCGGCACTAAATCTTCATTGGATAAGTATTTCTTTTTCTACATTGCGTCGTAGGATTTGTAGCGGTTCCCGATTGTCGAGTTTAAGCAGGAAAACCGCGGACCCAACAAAGTCAACACGTAGATTAACAGAGGCAATCTCTAGATGGAATAGTGGTGGCGAGAATTGGACAACAGTGAAAACCACCAGTATACAGCCATTTCGAATTGTTACGGAGCTTATCTATGAATTAGTATTCAAGAGCAATAAGTACAGGATAGTCCTAAATCATTAGTAGATATTATAGTAATTTCAATGGTTGAGATCAAGAGGTATATCGTGGAGTTCTAGTGCGAAGCAGTGACCGGTGGAGTCCAACCAGGTCTGTTGTAAGATAGTAACTCATTGATGACAATGATGGATGTGCCGCTCAATTTCGTGGGTTAGTTGAAGTTAGACATTAACACCGTTGGATATCGGCTCAGTAGTCTAGTGGTTAAGAGCTCGCAGGGGGCGAGATCGTGGATGCGCACTACTGAGGAGTCCCACAATAGGACGAAACGGCCGTCCAGTGCTTCCAGATTTTCCATGCTGCTCTGAACTAGTTTAAAAAATAATTTTCTTTCTATAGATATATTTATAATTGTTGGGAAGGAGTAATAAGAGATCTAGTAATTTATTTATATATTTAGTTAATGCACTTAAATCTTTTAATATTGTAGATTGTATATAAGTTTCTAGTTATGAATTAATTTACGTCAATCACTGTTTAAATTCACTCGATATTGTTTTACTTATATATTCCTACTGTTATTTAGGACTGAAATTGATCAGTCTCATGTGGGCATATGTGCGGATTGCTTCGATATAGCCTTAAGTCACAAGCTTTTAAGAATCCCGGAATGAATATAAACTCTGCGATGGAGGTACATCCAGCTGACGGGTTCCAAATAGGACGAAACGCGCGTCCTGAATTCCATTGTTAGCCACTATCTATCTTTGCTTAAAAATTACTGTTTAGTTCAGTATGATCATAATCGTATACTGACCAGAAAAGTAAATGATAAGTACGGTGTTTTGATAAATATACTTCTGATAAGTGGTTGGATCAACTATGAACTTATTATAGGTTCATAATAAAATCTTCATCTACAGTCTCGCTTTGTTCCTTACATAGTAGTAATCTTTGTTCAGTTATTGATTAGCAAGTAATCAGTTGTGTCCTCAGTTATAACAAGTAGTTAAACTGGTATTTTCTCAAGATTTATTAACAATGTAATGGAATAGACGTTTTTTATGTAAATATAGTTAACCAATTTGAAAGTTTCTGAGATATTTAAAGGACATGTGAGTTACATTCATTTTCTTCTCTGATATGCAACTGGGTAAAACTTCATGAAAACCACGAAATTCAACGATTTCGTCAGGAAGCGGTAAATTTAGATACTGTTTCATTTCATGTAATCATGATACTAGATTACTTAGCAAAAACGACCACAAGACGATGTTTCATAACTTCAATATAATTTAGTTTACTAAATATGTGACATTAGAGACATATATAATGTGAATTGAGTAGGATAATTAGGTCGTATTAGTCAAAAAACTAGAGTCAAATTAATGTATAAAAAAATTAGGGGAAATTGGAAAATGTTTTGACAAAATGATAACATTCCCAATTGTATGGTATGGGAAGTAAAAATAACGACGGAAACAATATTTTAAGGTCAAATATATGATATGTTTTATTGCAACATTCCAGTTTTATATTACCGATAGAGAAACAGACTTTTGTTTCAAAAACTTGGAAACTAAGAAATGCTAGAAGATTTGGATGAACTGCATTAGCAACGTCAAGGCAGTTCTACTGTACGGAGCTGAAACGTGGACAACTACAAAAACCACCATCAAGAAGGTACAAGTATTTATCAATAGCTGTCCATTGGCCGGATAACATCAGCAACAGCCTACTGTGGGATAGAACCTACCAGCTTCCAGCTGAAGAGAAAATTAGGAAAAGACGATGGAAATGGATAGGACATACATTGAGGAAATCATCAAACTGCATTACGAGACAAGCGCTAACTTGGAATCCTGAGGGAAAGCGGAAAAGAGGAAGGCCGAAGAACACATTACGTCGGGAAATAGAAGCGGATATGAAAGGGATGAATAAGAACTGGAAAGAGCTGGAAAGGATTGCACAGGACAGGGTTGGATGGAGAATGCTGGTGGGCGGCCTATGCTCTTCCACAAGGAGTAACAGGCGTAAGTAAGTAAGCATTAGAAACCTGAAAATCAGCATCTAGGTTAGTTGAGAGATCACAATCAGTTAGGCATTGAAGCAGTAAAGTCATATTTACTTTCCTTATATCATTGAAAAACTAAGCTTAAATACGTTCTAGTTTAGATATGGATTGTTAATGCTAAATATGGTTCATTCACTCTGCATCACATTAGCACGTCAACTAATGAATATAAATGGACACAAAGCCTATTCTCCAAGTACACAGAAAACAGGTTTTGGCTCATGAATTTTGACCGAAGCTAAGGCGTATAACTTTGTCTTGTAAACAGACTATTCCCAAGTACATTTTAACATATTAACTGCATATATTCATCACCATTAGATATGAGTTGTCTGATTTACATTTCACCTCTAATAAGTGTTTTTAAAACCAACTGTTTTAAATTCTTGCATACATTTTCTTCATTTAGTTAGAATTGCAATTGATTATTCTATTAGAGAGAGTCCAAAATTAGGTTACAATTTATAAATGCCCAAAC